GGGTCATAGAGATGAGGGATCAACTTATTCTCCAAAACACCAGAGGGCAGGACAAGGAGCAATGGGTGTCAACTTGCAAAGCTTTCAAGTTGCCATGAGCAGGAGGGAGGGAGAACTGAAGTGAATTCCATACATTCTTTCTGACCGCAATCAGAAGGAGGGTGTTGGATTTCACAGCCAGCCAAAGTGGTTAATTGGAGAATGTGATTTATGACATGGCCAGAGAGGAGGGGAGAGACAGGGTCATAGGGGAACGTAAATCTACGCAGGATCAGTCCTAACTGCATCCCAGTATTGCCAGAATGTTGCTCCTAATAAATGACTATATTTCCTTTGAAGTTTGGATCATGGCTCATGAATTAATTAGGGCATCTTTCGGAAACTTGACAATGGGTGGAAATTGAGAGGTCCAACCAGGAACTAAGAAGAAATTTCTTGACAGTGAGGGCAATTAACCAATGGAACAGAAATTGCCTTCAGAAGTTGTGGGTGCTCCATCACTGGAGATTTTCAAGAATAGACCGGATAACCATTTGTCTAGGATGGCATAAGGACTTCCACCTTGGGCAGAGATTGGAGTAGAAGACCTCCAAGCACAGGAGAGGGGAATGCTCAGAGGACCTTGGCAGGTTCTAATTTGGAAAATTTTTGAGCTCATCTCGCTACCATTCTGGCAAAATTGCCATTTCTCCTCTAATGACTTCTGAGATCTTCACCGCATCCCTCACTTCAGCCACATGGAAGTGATGGAAACCCTGTCTTCACTGCTGTGATTTTTATTTTTTATTTTTTTGGGCAGAAATGAGGATTGGAAGATGCTGGAGGTAGCAGTAGAGATTGCAAGAGGTGTCCAATCTTGGACACTTTACCACTTGTGGACTTCAACTCCCAGAATTCCCTCCGCCAGCCATGCTGGTTGAGGAATTCTGGATTTGAAGTCCACAAGTCCTAGAGTTGCCAAGGTTTTTTAAAGACCCTTGATAGAGAGCAAGCGAGAGCAAGCATTCTCTGAGCCATGATGGGAATGATCCGAAATTGGGGGTTTTTTTTCCCAGCTGTGCAGAGCCACTTTCAAACATCTGGCAATTTGAGCAACTTTGCGCCATAAGAAATGCGGTACATTATCATCGTGGGGTTGTTTCTGACAATTCCAAAAAAAAATGTTCTATAAATAACTACCCGAGCGAAGTAGTCAGTGGTAGAAAATGCTTTGAAACATTGCATTCAATGGCAACAAGATTAAAGTTGTTCATTAACAAATTATTTTTTTTAAAGCTAGAGTTAATGGGTTCTACTGCCGTTTTGTTATGCTTTTAATTGAAAAGAATTCTCTGGCTCCCCTCCTGGGTTACATTCTGAATTTGGGATTTGAGAACTCCATAGACTTTGCCTCTCTCCTGGCTCTGAGCGTGGAGAATTTTGCAAAAAAATTGGACTGGGGCACTATTTCTCCTTTGGACTCTCCTCTTTGTTTAGTTTGGGCGCCGAAGGGGTTCAGGGAGAACATTCCTAGGGTGGAAACAATTTAAACAGACCTACAGGGGGGATAAATCAACTAAAACAAAAGAAATTACATACATTTTAGCCTAGAGAAAAGAACATTAAACAAGGATAAAGAGACATTTTTCTACTGCAGAAAGCTATGCGCCTAGGACAACAAATGCCTAAAGATATACACATAGACTGAAGAGATGCTGAAGGACTGAACTTAAATGGCCTTCTTTTCTATAATTGTATTAAACTCATTTTCCTCTTGGAAATGAAATCGTTCGACATAAGTTCGACATGAGCCTTGGTAGTACAGTGGTCTAAAGCACACTGTTATTAACATCCAGCTGCCTGCAATTACTGCAAGTTCAAATCTCACCAGGCTCAGGATTGACTCAGCCTTCCATCCTTTCTAAGGTAGGTAAATTGAGGACCCAGTTTGTGGGGGCAATAAGCTGACTTTGTATAAATATACAAAAGGATGAAGGCTATTGCTTAGCGCATTGTAAGCCGCCCTGAGTCTCCGGAGAAGGGCGGCATATAAATCAAATTTAAAAAAAAAAAAAGAATAATTAAGGCACACAAGGAATTTGTCTCCAGTACAAAAGCACTCAGTGTACATACAAAGCAAATAAGATGATGATGATGATAACAACAATAACAATATTAATACCGATAAAAGGGGGTGTAAATAAGATAACAGTAAGAATAAATAATAATAACTATAGCCATACTAAATAGTAAATACACATAAACATTAGACAGAACTGCGAGAATTAAATATTCAGTAGAGTGATGACATGAGGGAAAACAATGTCCCTGTGTTTTAGTTGTCCTGGCACGCAATGCCCTATAGCGCCATCCTGAGGGAAGGAGTTGAAACAGTTTGTGTCCAGGATGTGAGGGGTCTGCAGATGTCTTCTCAGTCCTCCTTCTGACCCGCGCAATCTACTAGTCCTCAGTGGAAGGCAGACTGGTTGCACTTGTTCTTTCTTCAGTCTTAACTTTTTTTTTTTTTAATTTTATTTATATGCCGCCCTTCTCCGGAGACTCAGGGCGGCTTACAATGCGTTAAGCAATAGCCTTCATCCTTTTGTATATTTATACAAAGTCAGCTTATTGCCCCCACAATCTGGGTCCTCATTTCACCTACCTTAGAAAGGATGGAAGGCTGAGTCAACCTTGAGCCTGGTGAGATTCGAACTTGCAGTAATTGCAGGCAGCTGGTGTTAAATTACAGTGCTCTGTCTGTTGAGCTATCCAGGCTCCTGAACTTAACAGGTCTGTTCCTGTCCTGTTTGTTGCTGGGCCAAACGGCATCTTCAGATTGAAAACAGGTGGCCTGAAAGCTTCTCCCATGGCTTCCAGCACGGTGATTTCCCACTTATAGTTTACATCAGAATGACCTTGAAATGCAAGGTTGGCTTTATCTCATTCTCGTATTGTCTCATGCTTTGGAACATCTTTTTGCCAAGTCCATTTAGTTCAGAAACTAATCTGTCTTTCTGGTTTAACCTATCCCTGAGCCACGATGTCTAAACCTTGTGGCAGGCATTTCTAGAGGGAGTTCTTATATCCAGATCAGCCCTGAGTAATCCTTGATAGACTCTGGGGTGGTCCCTGGATCTTTGAAGAAGTGTGGAATATCCATGGCAGTCAATGAACAGCTAGAAAACATTCTGTCTCTTCATCACTGGGTGGGGACAATAGATTTTTGTTAGCCAACCAGAAAAGTCTATCATGATCCCAGCAAAATATTATGTCAATACTGCAAGTACCCTAAGGGTCTCCAGTGGGGAAAGGCTCAGAGAAGGGACAGAAGTTTCATGGTGGAACATCATGTAGATCAGTGTTTCTCAACCTTGGGAGCTTGAAGATGGGTGGACTTCAACTCTCAGGTTGAGAAGGATACCATGGCCAACCATATCAAAAGCTGCTAAAAGATCTAGGACAGTTTCTCAACCTTGGAAGCTTGAAGATGGGTGGACTTCAACTCCCAGAATCAAGTGATTTGCTTAACAACTATAGCAAAAAGAAAAAAGAAAGATTAGGAATGACATGATAGTAGTGTTCCAGTATTTGAAGGGCTGCCACAGAGAAGAGAGGGTCAACCTATTTTTCTTCAGGACAAGAAACAATGGATGGAAACTCATCAAGGAGAGAGGCAACCTAGAACTAAGGAGAAATTTCCTGACAGTGAGAACAATTAATGAGTGGAACAACTTGCCTCCAGAAGTTGTGAATGCTCCATCATAGGAGGTTTTTAAGAAGAGATTGGACAACCATTTGTTGGGAATGGTGTAGAGTTTCCTTCTTGACCAGAGGGTTGGATTGAAGACCTCCAAGATCCCTTCTAACTCTGTTATTCTCTTAACCTTTGTATACAGACAATCCAATTCACTCTCCAGCTAGAAGGATCTTCAGCTGGCAAGTCAGAAGGTCTCAAGTTGCAATTCTAGAGAGGATTGGCAGCGACCTTCCATGCTGGTCGGTTTGCATTTTCTAACCATTCTTTAATGTGGATTCCCTCAAGGTGGGGCCCTCCAAATGATTTGGAGCCCTGGATGGATTTTCCCCAGCCACAAAGCAGGAGAAGTGAGCGTTGGGCACCCAAAACTTTTTATCACATCCATGTGGTGCTAAACTCTGGCGGTGCAACCACTCGGTCCCACTTCCAGCTCCTGAGTGCTGAATAATGAACACGCGTGAACGCAGGAGCCTTTCTCTCATCAACCCACCCACCCTCTGGCGTGCCAGGATCAGCCAAACTCCAGAGTGCTATTTTACAGCAGATGTAACCTACCCGTGGGTCATTTTTGTTATTTTAACAGTCTGGTTCTGTAAAACCAAAGCCTCTAAGTCTTGCCAAGCCTAATTTTGCTTGCTAGCTGATCCCCAAAGCCTGATGACATCAGTCAGGAACGATTCAGAAATATTAGCTGGTTTGGGGAAATGCATAGTCTATACTTGAGATTACATTTGGAAGCAAAGTGAAATAATCCATTTTCGGGGTCTTTTAATGACAGGAAAGGAGGTGACTCTGCTGAAATGGTCCTCAGTCTGGTATATTCAGTTCTATTAAAATTTATACAGTATTCCATCCAGTGATCGCTGGATTAGTGCAAGACGTAGCTTTCTGGGTTGGGAAGGAGATCTGTGATACACACTTTCTCTGCTCCAGATTAATATCATGTATCCCGACTTGACCAAAGCTTCAAGCCAGGATGTCATTGCAGCTTTGTTCCTGATCCTCTAAAGCAGGGGTCTCCAACCTTGGCAACTTTAAGCCTTGTGGATTTCAACTCCCAGAATTCTTTGCTGGCTTTACTGGCTGAGGAATTCTAGGAGTTGAAGTCCACAAGTCTTAAAGTTGCCAAGGTTGGAGACCTTTGGTCTAAAGCAGTGGTTCTTCAGCTGAGGGTAGTTACCCCTAAGGAGCAATTTGGCCACATCCTGGAGGTAATGCAGCAATTTGTAGTTACATGTTTGTGAATTAAGGATGCACCATGGTCATGGGATCAAAATGCTTGGCAACTGGCATGTACTTACGATGGTTGTGGTGTCCCAGGACCATGTGATCCCCTTTTGCGACCTCCTAACAAGCAAAGTCAACGGAGAAGCCAGATTCGCTTAACAACCAGGTTAACTAACTTAACAACTTCAACTCTAGTGAGCGCTGCAGTTGACCCAAAATTGGGACGTGGGTTGACAGACTGAACAGAAGAGCTAAGCCCTCTTCCACCCTGACTTAACTGTGATGCTTCCTTTACAGTCTGATGGGACCATCCTGGCAATTATCTTGCTGATCCTCTTCATTCTTTTGGCTCTGGCTCTTCTGTGGTGGTTCTGGCCACTTTGCTGTACTGTGGTAAGTCCCTGGAACCCATTTTCACTTTGGCTGGTCTTCTGCGTCAAAAGGGGAGAAAATCACTCCCAGAGAAAGCCACAAGGCTGCTTACGATGAATAGTTTGTAAGGAGGAGGAAGTCCTCCCTTTCGGTTGGCTAGTTTGTCGGATGAGGTCATCTAAAAATATGGATGCTGTGGGTATGTATTCCTTCAGAAGTGAGATTTCTGGGAATGTATGGGGTTTAGGGTCTCACAAGATTTCAATTTTTGCTATTTTTAACGTAAGTTTTTTTTAATTTTACAACAACAACACCACACAACATACAAAACACAAACACACAATATGTGTTTCTTTTTACGTATCAGCTTCATTCCTCTTACTTTCTACTTTCTCATTCTTTATTATCTTTATCTTTTTCGTCCCTTTATTTCTAGTTTTATTCATTTACAGTATTATACATATTTGTCACCTCCATTATTCACTTTTGCTTTCCCTAGTCTCGAGCCAGTCATACCACTTAGTCCATATTTGATACTATTCTGTATCTTCCTTTTATTTCTTTCGTCAATTTGGTAGTACAGTGGTCTAAAGCACCCTGTTATTAAGAACAGCTGCCTGCAATTACTGCAGGTTCGAATCTCACCAGGCTCAAGGTTGACTCAGCCTTCCATCCTTTCTAAGGTAGGTAAATTGAGGACCCAGATTGTGGGGGCAATAAACTGACTTTGTATAAATATACAAAAGTATGAAGGCTATTGCTTAATGCATTGTAAGCCACCCTGAGTCTCTGGAGAAGGGCGGCATATAAACCAATTTTTTTTAAAAAAATTGTCCATCTCCGCACAGTCCAGGATTTTCTTAATTATTTCTTCCTCTGTTGGGACCTTTTCATTTTTCCAGGACTGTGCGTAGACGATCCTTGACGCTGTAATTATATGCAAAATCAAATATCTAATTTCTTTACTGTAGGTTCTGTTCAATATCCCCAGTAAAAACGTCTCTGGTTTCAAATCCACTTTATAGCCAATTATCTCTTTTATTTTATTTTTATTTATTTTATTGGATTTCTATACCGCCCTTCTCCCGAAGGACTCAGGGCGGTGAACAGCCACAATAAAACACATAAATACAAAAATTTAAAATAGAATAAAAACAAATTAAATAATTTGACTGAAACAAATTTAAACTACCCGATAATTTAAAAACAAATTAAAATTTACATTTAAAAGGGGAGAAGGTTTAGGCCAACTTCTATCCAACTTCTAATTTTAGCCCAATATTTTTGCTATTTTTACTTAAGTTTATTCAGCGTGCCATCGGACAATCATCCTCAGCCCTGAGGTGTGCTAGATCTGCTTACTGCGGATGATAGCAGCTGAAAGAAGACAGAAGCAGTTGAAGGCACAAAAGCCAGTAACCATGAAAGACCAACCCTAGTAGAGAGAGAAGGGAGCACCCCCAAGATTGTATCCAAAACATGCCCGTATGATCATCACGATTCTTTCACAGGAATTACTGCTCACCCAGAGTAGGCTGATTTTGTTAGCAGTTCTGCTGCCCAGAGGAGCTTCTGCTATTGTTGGTTGGTGAACTTTCATCGAGTTTGCAAGGACATCCATGACAAAATTCAGTGGACATTATTCCTTTAGACCCAAGATGTCCAACCATGGCAACTTTAAGACTGGTGGACTTCAACTTCCAGAACTCCCCAGAGAAAATGTGTGTGCTAGGGGTGGGTTCTAATTTTTTTCACTAATGGTTCTGTGGGCGTGGCTTATTTTGTGGGCGTGGTTTGATGATCATGTGACAATTCTTTAGGATTTAGCAGAGGTACTGGTCTACCAGGCTTTTAACTGCTTGCAGAGCTGTACCAGTCTACTCATTTGTTTTTTGGAGGCCCCGGTCTACCCATTTATTTTTGCAGGTACCGGTCTACTCATTTGTTTTTGAGGCACTGGTCTACCCATTTATTTTTGGAGGCCCCGGTCTACCCATTTGTTTTTGGAGGCACTGGTCTACCCATTTATTTTTGGAGGCCCCGGTCTACCCATTTGCTTTTGGAGGCACTGGTCTACCCATTTATTTTTGCAGGTACCGGTCTACTCATTTGTTTTTGGAGGCACTGGTCTACCCATTTATTTTTGCAGGTACCGGTCTACTCATTTGTTTTTGGAGGCACTGGTCTACCCATTTATTTTTGCAGGTACCGGTCTACTCATTTGTTTTTGGAGGCACTGGTCTACCCATTTATTTTTGCAGGTACCGGGTCTACTCATTTGTTTTTGGAGGCACTGGTCTACCCATTTATTTTTGGAGGCCCCGGTCTACCCATTTGTTTTTGGAGGCACTGGTCTACCCATTTATTTTTGGAGGCCCCGGTCTACCCATTTGCTTTTGGAGGCACTGGTCTACCAACCACAATGCCTTTTACCACTGATCAGCTATAGGGCGGCCCTTTGAAGCTCCGCAACAAGAGTTTAAACAGTTTTTTTTCCTTCTAGCCGATCAGCTGGGACTCGGGAGGCAGCGAATAGATTGGGGGCGGGGCCAAATAAAAGGTAAAGAATAACACGGGGGGGGGGCAGGAGGGCCCAGCTCCCGAACTAAGAGAACCAGTTCAGTGACGTCATATCGTCACCGCTACCGGCTCGGCCGAACTGGGAGGAACCCACCACTGGTGTGTGCACACCAAACTCTTTAAAAATAATTTATGTCTACAAACAGACCCACTTAAGTGATATCAGTTCATTTTCCCACTTTCAATAACATTCTATTCTATTTGATTCGATTTGATTTGATTCTATTCTACGTTGTATTCTATTCTGCATTCTATTCTTTCTATTCTGTTCCCTATTCTATTCTAGTCTGATTCTATTCTGCATTCTCTTCTTTTCTCATCATCATATCATAATGAAGTGGATCCAAGAAAAACACACAGACCTCTATTTAGAAAAAAAACAACAATGGGTCTGGAATCATAGACTTCTGGATGGGGATCAAGAGAGGCAAACAAAAAACCGTGCCCCACGATTGCAATACACACCTTATTTGGGTCCAGTCTCATCCTGCAAGGCCAAAGGGCAGTTTTGCACCCTGAGTGTGCAATGCAACTAATTTTCAAATTAACTGCAGTTTCTACCAGACCTTTATTCCTGGACCTTTTTAGCGGTTATATTTCTCTCTCCTGAAGGCCAAATTCAGCAATCTTCTCTCAAAAGTTTAAAAGCAAGTCAGAGCCACGTCCCTCTGTTCTCAAAAGCCTTATGGAAAGAAAGTGAAATTAGCAAAGGCCGTATTCCAGAGAGAAAACATCTCATAGGAAATCATGTGGAAAGAAGAATCTTGAAAATCTCTGCTTTGCATTCCAGCCTTTAAGACAGGAAAAGTAGGAAGAAGCGAGCTGGCTTGCTTGGTGAATATTGAATGAAGCTGGAGAAGAAAACCAGGCTCTGGGCTGAATCCTCCAAGGAACCTTTTGAGATACAGCTTGCACATTTTCCCATCAGTCTGGAGGAAATAATAATGGAGTTAACAGTCCTTTGACAATCCCTTTCCAGCCAGGGAGATAAAGCCTGGCATTATTTCTCAATCCTATTAGGCAGCTTCCTCCCTATTTTTTTTTTTTTTTAAATGCACAAATGCAATGAAATATATGAGAAATTATTGGAGTGAATTGCTCGTGGTGGATTAACACATTAGCCGATAATTTACTGGAATATTTTCCTAGGTGTGTGCAAGCCAGGCTGAGTTTCAAATGGATTTTAGCTAAGTAAGTGGCTTGGATGAAGCAAGACCATTTTCGCCCAGTTTGGCGTTGCTAGAATCTCTAATTAGTAATGGTCAGCTCTGCTGGACATTCCTTTGGACAGGAAGGAAGGGAATAATAATAATTAAAAAAAAAGAATGGGAAATGGTTGGTTGCATTCTCTGGTCCAGCTAAGCAAGAATGAATGAGAGAAGGGTGTGTTTCTCATTAAACAGAGCTCTATTTGTGCGTATGTGGCATTCACATCAGTAGCGATCCACTCCCCACCCCTTGTAATGTGCATCTTGTGATTGCACGTCCATTAAAAGGGGTGGAGTTGATTGCAAAGTCGAATTGAAGCCAGGGACGGTCACCCCATGAGGGTGCCTGGCTATCTTTCCTATTGCGATACCATTGATGTCAGTGAGATTTCCCCAGTTCTTATGTTGAAAGAGGCTGGGGTGCATCAGAAGTGGGATTCACTTATCTTCCCTACCAGTTTGCAAATGTGAGTGCATGTGCCACCTCTACACACGCGCACCAGAGATGGTATTCAGCAGGTTCTGACCAGTTCTGGAGAACCGGTAGAGGAAATTTTGAGTAGTTCGGAGAACTGGCAAATACCACCTCTGGCTGGCCCCAGAATGGGGTGGAAATGGAGATTTTACAGCATCCTTCCCCTGCCACGCCCACCAAGGCACACCCATAGAACCGGTAGTAAAAAAATTTGAAACCCACCAGTGATGCAAACAGCCTTCTGCAGATGCTCAGTAATCACACTGTCAGGTTTCGATGTCATCTCAAATAAATTGCACTCCCAAACAATTAATCTTTGCTGAAATATTCCATTTATTGAGTACGACAGATCTGGCCCCGACTTCGTCGTAGCCGATACTAACCCTCTGACCCCCAAACCCTTCCCTTTCCGTTCCCCAATTCTCATCTTCTCATTGGCCATCTTCCAAGTCAGTCTCCCCAGCTTCTGACCTCAGCCCACAGGAATGTCTCCCCTCCCATCCCATCTCCTAGGGGATATTATCTACAGAGAAAATAGGTAGGTGAAAAGTCAAGCCTCGTCTCCTCCTTTTTATGGCAGCATCAGAATGCTGACACACACATTACGTCCGGGAGGGTGGGCGGAGCTTCCCATAGTCACTGCTACCGGTTCATGTGATCCGGACAGAACCGGATGAATCCCATCACTGTGCATGGATCTGATGTATGTGTGAATGCTTTCACTGGCGGTAAGGCCTCGATATTTAGTCATCTGATGCCAAAAGCTGTCCTGGGAGGTTGAGAGGCTCCAAGCCCCACTGGATCAGGTCAAAGTAACCTCCTGCAGTCTGCTTCCAAATATTAGCCAGCTGGGATCTGTAAGCTAGGGATGAAAGAAGCAGCTTTCGCCACTGTATGATGTTCACAGCTATATACCCCAGAAAACAGATAGATCTCATGTATGATTAATAACTGCTGCTGATGAGTTATGTAATTCACCTAATTCAGTCAAATTCTAGGATCTGTTTCTATTTGCTATTAAGTTGTCCCAAATGTGGTTTTTTTCCAAGAGGAAACTGGACTTGGTTTTTTCTCTTGAAGACGTTTCGCTTCTCATCCCAGAAGCTTCTTCAGCTCTGACTGGATGGTGGGGAATGGAAGGATTTATAACTCCTTGCAGACAGCTGGTCATTTGCATCCTTTTAGAGGGTGGTTGAGGCCACTTGGAGGTTTCTCTGGGTCCTCAGGGCCACCTGAGTGGTGCAAATGGGTGTGGAGCCTCCTTGGAACTGCTGAAAGGACTGTCTTGTAGACTGGAGATAGATGGCGTATCTGTTGAGGGAGGGCTGTTCAATTTTGACATGGATGGCCTCTTTGACCCCTCTTTCAAACCAGCAGTCTTCTCTGTCCAAAATGTGGATTTTGCTGTCTTCAAAAGAGTGGCTGCTCTTTTAAAGTCCACACTTTGGACAGAAAGGACCGTGGTTTGAAAGAGGGGTCAAAGAGGCCATCTACATTAAGATTGAGCAGCCCTCCCTCAACAGATCATCTATCTCCAATCTACAACACAGATCCTTTCAGCTGTTCCAAGGAGGCTCCACACCCATTTGCACCACTGAGGTGACCCCGAGGACACAGAGAAACCTCCAAGTGGCCTCAAGGACTCGCAAAAAGGATGCAAATGACCAGCTGTCTGCAAGGAATATACATCCTTCCATTCCCTATCATTCCCCACCTTCCGGTCAGAGCTGAAGAAGCTTCTTGGATGAGAAGCGAAACGTCTTCAAAGAAAAACCAGAAAGTCCTCAGTTACCTTTGGGGCAACTGTGACCTGGATTGACTGAGAATCTCCATGGATGTTTGCTATGAAGTTCTTTCTATCAGAGCTGGTGGGGGGGTTAAATAATGACGTTTTGGGTTCACGGGTTCAGATTTTTCGCCAGCTCCTCAGAAGTCGACCTGCCAGATCCGTAGGTGAGGGCTGCGGTTTTAAATGGAGATGGAAAATGTGTAGAAATATTTTATCCTGGCATCTTCTGAGGAGGGCTCTTGAAAGTAATCTTTTGTATTCATTTCCATCCTTTTCAGATTATTAAAGAGCCCCCGCCACCCCCCATGGAAGACAGCGAGGTGAGTGCTTTGATCCTTTGTCACATTTCCTTTGATGTTTTGCAACGCTGTTGTGGTGATGTCACTACCGGATCGGGCGATCCGGTCCAATCCGGGAGCATTTCACCCCTGGTGATATGGCGCTGAGGAGTGTAACTGAACTTGATTAATGTGACTACAGGAATTTCACTGTTTGTATTTTACACTGCCTCTGGCGCAAGAAGCAATTGCAAGCAAGCCTTCAATAATTTGGACTTTCAACTTTTTTTAAAATTTGGGACTCTTTAATGCTTTATTTGTCGTCTCTGGCTCCTTAAAGTGAGTAAAATAAGCCCAAGTCTTTCTGAAAAGACCCTTCTGAACATCTGTGGTACAGAACTGATGATTAAAGATTTTCCTCTTCAACAATTCAACATTTTAAATACAAGTTGATGACCCATTGATTTTGAACTGTGAATAAGGTTATAGAAATATTTGGTCAAAAATTATAGGAGTTATTAAGATGGATCCTTCTAAAGATGAATCGGTGCGATCTAAGGTCAAACAGATTTCTCAAGCTAGTATTGACTCAGCTCAAATTGTGTTGGCATTAAACAAATTAAGTGATAAAATTGAAATAATGGATACAGAATTTCAAAAAATACATTTAAAAATGGATGAAGAAAAGAAGGAAAGATCCAATCAGCTGGAACAAATTGTTCAAGAAGTTAATGTTAATTTTGCTAAATACACAGCAGAAGTAACAGTGATAAAAGATAATGTAGATCAACTACAAGTGCAAACAAAAAAAAATTGATAAGCAAATGACTGAAATCTTTTTTAAAAATGAAAAACAGGATAGAAGAATATGTATCCTGGAAGAAGAAGTTAGGAAGTCCTTTTGTGAACTTCTGACAAGCAAAATCAGCGGAGAAGTCAGATTCATGTTACTAACTGAATAACGACAGTGATTCACTCAACAACTGTGGGAAGAAAGGTTGTAAAATGAGGCAAAACTCACTTAGCAACAGGAACCTGGGGCTCGATTGTGGTCATAAGCCCAGGACTACCTGTACCACACATCCCAGACACCTCTGGACCACGACAAAAGGGCTAAGGCCAGACAACACAGAAGTTGCCTGAGGCTTCCAGTGGACAGTTGCTGGTTCCCTGTTCCAATTATACATTCCTCAAGCTTATTTATTCTTTTACTCTGGCATGTAAACATTGAGTAGTTGCTCGGAAGGCTTGAGTGCCTTACAAAGGCCCCTCATCATTTTCCAACAGTGACAGTCAGAAGTTAATAAAAGGGAGGCTTCCTGGTTAGATTGGCATTGTTAATGCTGTTGTTTTAAGGTGCTTCAGAAATGACAGTTTGTTTACAGGCAGGAAATGCATGTAATAGTAAAATAGGTTCAGGGAATTCATTAAAAGTTGGTAAAGTTGAGAAATAGGACAATAAACTAAGCTGTGGTGGGGTGACACACATTGGCCTGGAACTCTTCAAGAGGTTTTTAACTGTTCTGGGAAAACAAAATATTAACCCAACGTTTTTCCCCCAATTTAATTAGAATTGAATCACCACTCCTTTTCTGGGTGCATTGGTTGCACGGAGGGGTAGTCCACAATCATGGCCTCCACATCATAGAATCACAGGGCCAGATAACTTATATATCATTCTGGACAAATGGCCGTCCAATTATTTCTTGAAAACCTCTAGAGATGGAGCACCCATAACTCCTGTTCGAGTGATTAATCGTTTCCATTGTCAGGAAATTTCTTCTTAGTTCCAGGTTGGTTCCTTAATGAGCTTCCATCCGTTACTCCTTGTCCTTCTCCCTGGTGCTTTGGAGAACAAGTCAATTCCCCCTTCTTCCCCTCAAGTACTATAATAGAAGATAGTTATCATGTCAACCCTAATTCTTCTCTTCGTTAGCAATAGCACTTAAGAGTTATATACCGCTTCACAGTGCTTTCCAGCCCTCTCTAAGCGGTTTCCAAAGTCAGCCTCTTGCCCCCAACAATCTGGGTCCTCGTTTTACCCACCTCGGAAGGACGGAAGGCTGAGTCGACCTTGAGCCGGTCAGGATTGAACTCCTGGAGTAAGCAGAGTTAACCTGCAGTACCGCATTCTAACCACTGTGCCACCACAGCTCATTAGGCTAAACATACCTAGTTCTCTTAAGCATTCATTGTACAATTTAGACCCCCAGACTCCTTATTGCTCTTCTCTGGACCTTGTGATTTTATTTTATTTTATTATTATTATTATTATTTTGTAATATGAGTGATACTATCACTTCTCAAGATCTTGTTGCTTTTTCTCTGTTGATGCAACCAAGGACTTCATTGGCTTTTTTGATAGCTGAAGCATACTGCTGGCTCATACTTTTATTTTTTCCTACCTATTTTTCTCGCCACTGAATTATTTCTTCTTGGACAGGGCCCAGCACTCAAGTCTGTCAAGATCCTCCTGGATCCTGAGCCTAGTTTCCTAAGTGTTAGCAATTCCTCCTAGCTTGATTTTGTCTGCAGATTTGATGATGGCCTCCCCTTCTATCATGGTGTCATCACTGCGGCTTCTACCCTACGTTGTGGTTGCATGTTGGCTTTTAAGTGCATGTTATGCTTTGATTATATGGTGGGTTTTGCAGGATGAGGTGTGTTTGTTGCCTTATAATTAGACATTGCAGCTTTGAGATCAAGGATAAATTAATTTTCTTTCTACGGGTTTAAATCTGAGCCACCAAAAGCCCGATCTTGTCATCGTCCGTGAGTCTTTGTTGACATCTGGAGTCCACAAGCTTTCTCACTCAGCTGGTTCTACAGCCAAGTCAAGAACATACACATACACACACACACACACACAAAGAGAGAGTGTTTAGATCTGATATCGCTCCAAGTCCATTTAGCTTCAAGACAAAGATACCCAGCAAAGTTTTTGCAGGCCAGGATCAATCGAAAACAGAGCTCTAACTCGCAAAGGTGATTTATGAGCTCCATCAAGGACATCTGCTTCTCCTTCCACATCTGCTTCTATCTTTGCCGTTTGAAAGGAAGACTTTCTAGGGGCCGCGGCTGCTGCTGTTCGCTCCTCTGACCCAAAACTTCTTGGATCGCTTGCTTTGGAGTCAAATAAAAGAGATGTTAACTTAGGGAAGGGAAGGGAGAAACAGTTGGCAGGGAGCCTAGGCGTCTTTCTCCCTCTATGCAGGAGAAAGGCGTGGTGAATTGTTGATGGAAGTTGGAAAAGTAGGGATGGAGAACCTTATACCTTTCCTTCCTTGGGCTTTGTCCCAAAACACATCTTGATAGAACCAGGGAGCAGAGGAGGTTCAGTTTTAGCACTTCCAGCCAGCAGGCTCACAGAAAGACGGCAAGTATCCTTTCCCACCGTAATGGATGGTGTTAAGGGGATTTGCAGAATGCTTCCTGTTAGGAGGACCAAGAACTGATGTTGGAGAGAAGAAAAGGAAGCCAGCTGACCATCTTCAGCAACAGGGCTCTTAAGCCTCCTTCACTAACAGAACCAAAAGGAAGGTTGAAGAGTTGAAGTCTACAAGTGTTAAAGTTGTCAAGTTTTGGAGTCTTCTGCAATAAGAGCATCTCTGATGGATGACCACCCAGCCTCTTCTTGGGGTCCTCTAGCGAAGGAGGTCTTATCACTGTATCCAGCAGCCTGTTCCACAAGCTAACAGCTGCTGCACTCAAGAAGGTTTTTGCAGATGTCTAGCCTGAACCTCCCTTCCTCCTTGTTTTAACCGGCTGGTTGCAATCCTTCCCCTCGCTTGCTCTTTCTCCTGCTTTTTAATGTAGCAAGGAGTCTTCCATCTGGGGTTAACTCTTGTACAAGTGTTAAGGGATTCTGGCCAGGCCTGCTTTCAGATGGAGCAAGTCATATCCAATGTGGAATGGTTCATCTGAGCTGCAAAGCCGGAGGTGCACTTTTATCAGGGTTTATTCGTATTTTCCAGATTTGTTTTCTCCCTTCTCTGTTTTTGTCTTCCTGCGCGATCCCTTTGAACATTAAATAATATTCCACCATTTAAAAATCTTGAGGGCAGATAGCCAGAGCTGACCCTGGACATGCATAGATTCCAATGAAGGAGACGGAGGCAGGAAGATTGTTTTTATTGTGATTTTATTCAGAATGTTCTGATAAAAAGGATTCCTCTCATTCAAAGAGGGAATATTGAGACCCATCCCTACATTCTCTTTTGTAGTTAAGACTGAAAGGAAATTACAAAAGAAAAGTTGATTGGAAATGACAAAATCATCCCCCACTTCATGTAATCAATTATATGAAATTAAGCATGTTACATATTTGCATTTCATAATACCACACATGTTCATTAAAATAGTGGTGCAGTGGCCTAGAGGTGGAGTTCTCGCCTCACAATCAGGAGGCTGTGAGTTCAATCCTAGGTAGAGGCAGATATTTCTCTCTCTTGGCACAATGAGACTACATCTGCTGAACAAAACTCTGCATTGGTGACAGGAAGGACATCCAGCCAGTAAACATTCAGCTACATTCAGTTGCCCAGACTCCACCCTGCAAGGAATTATGGGGTCATTAAATGAGGAAGATGATGACACATGTTCATTTAAATGAGCTCTGAAGAACAAGGGGGCAAGCTATTTTCCAAAGCACCTGAAGACCAGACAAGGAACAATGGATGGAAACTGACCAAGGAGATATTCAACCTGGAAATAAGGAGAAATTTTCTGACAGTGAGGCCAATCCACCAATGGAACAGAAGTTGCCTTCAGAAGTTGTGGGAGCTTCATCGTTGGAAGCTTTCAAGAAGAGACTGGACTGCCATCGGTCAGAAATGGTGTAGGATCACCTGCTTGGACTAGAAGACCTCCAAGGTCCCTTCCAACTCTGTTAATCTGTATCTGTAACTATCACCAGTATCAGCCCTTAATCCAGCCTAACTCATGGACTGAGGATGAAATGGAGGCACCACAGAGGGACGTAGTAGGGGAAAAAAATATTGCAAAGACATGTTGGTAGCAAATGGAGAAAGGCCCTTCAAACGGATGTTTGGTCTGCTAGCACCTGTCAATAAACATGTGGGTTCTTTTGAACCCTTGCCAAGACAAACCCAAATTTCCTTTCTCACTGTGGGGTCTTCCAGATGTTTTGGTTCTCCCTCGCTGTTTTTGTTGGTCAGCACATCTGGGCACCAGGAAAGCTGGAAAGGGTGTTTTGGTATCTCTTTTAACTTTAGCAGCAAAATCTATTTTTGGCTTTTAAAACAACACAAAGACAAACCGTTAGGTCATAGGTTCCAGAAGGTCATTTTGGAAATGGAATAACAGATATAACAGAGTTGGAAGGGAGCTTGCTTAAGCAGGAGACCCCGTACCAATGCCATTCCAGACAATGGCTCTCCAGGCTCTTCTTAAATGCCTCCAGTGATGGAGCACTCACAGCTCCTGCAGGCAAGCCATTCAGCAAAAGAAGTACATAAATAAAATAATCAGCCTATTGCAAGGCTGTTTTCTTTCCCACTGGACAAACCTCATCTATGCAGGCTATGGTCAGAAATGTGTCCAGAGGAGATGGCAAAACCTCTGAACCAAAATGCTTTTGTACATCTCCCATCGTGGTGGTGATGAAATTCTGCTGCCTTTGTTCTTCCAAATATTTCCCTTATGAAGTAGAAAATGGGACATACAAGCCTAAATGTAGCTATATATGGTACTCTGAATATTATGCTTCGCTAATTCACTGGGAGATCTTTTGAGTCAGGTTTTCATTTAGGAGAAAGAGAGGGGGAGAAACAGAGTTTGCTTCAGAGGATAAATAAAATCTGGGAAGAGTTATTTCTTAGGAAGAGCCAACATGAACTCCAAAACAATGTCTAATTTGTCTGATAACCAATAAAGTAATCGCTGAATAAACAATGATATAAGCCAGAAGATTTTTATTTTAAAATGTAAATGGAATTCTTCACAACAACTTCTTTCTATCCGAGGATTGGAAGTTCTGATAGATCAATGTTGATGCCCATATTTTCTCTCTCTCTCTCTTAGGAGGAAGATGATGATGGACTTCCCAAGAAGAAGTGGCCAACGGTGGATGCTTCCTATTATGGTGGGCGTGGAGTTGGAGGCATTAAGCGGATGGAGGTAGGGTGGCCCCTGTCTCTGGTTGCCACTGAAGGGGGAAATTCCCTACAGCCCAGTTTATGATTGGAGACCCCACAATCAAGTTTATTTGAACAGCTCTTGGGTTCAATGAATACAAGGTTCAGATCTCAAGTTTCAAGGAAAAACCCAAGAAAGTCCAATTGCCTTTTGGAAAAGCAACTTTAGGACAACCATGACCTGGATGATGGAGAATCTCCATAGACTGTTAATGGAATTAATGGGGAGCTGAACTTAGGTCTCTTCTGGGAACACAATGACTCCAAACTTATGGCACACTTGACCCTCCCTTCGGGTGCACCTGCTCATCTCCTACATTTCCCTCTCCTCATGACCCACAGCAGAGCCCTGGTGAAGCCGCCTCCTTCTCCTCCTCTTCCTCCTCAGCTGAACCACAAAACTGCCTGCCACTTCGTTGTGGGGAGGCTATGAGGAAAACTACGGCCCTCCTCCCCATTCTGCCATGTCCCCAAGGGCCCCCTCCTTTCAAGGGAGAAGAGGGTTCTTCCTTCCAATGCCAGCATCCCACACCCAGCCCTATCTTACTAGCAGGCACCCATGTTGCTCCCTTGTTCTCCCCTCACCAGCATAGCTTTTACACACTTTGGGAAAACAAAAGCACATTTATTGTTTTAGCATGTTGATATTTTATCTTGTGGGTTTTATGGTTATAAAGTGACTAGAATCCCCTCTAGGTAAGATGGGCGGCCTGTTCATGGAGCACGCATGAATAGGTGACACGCAACAAAATATTCCCAGCCCTGATAGAAACCACGGCCTTCCCAGAGATGGGTTCTTACTAAAGTATCACAGCTTTCACTCTTCTGTTTCTAACTGATAAGGCTAGTAATTAAGTTTGTAAAACTTTCTGGCTAATTTATCTGCAACAGGAAAGGGGGAGGTAACTCTGAATCAACGGCTGGCCTGGTTGAGTTCCTTGATAAGGCTATCCAGTAGCCTTCCAGGGATTTTAGGGCCAGGATGAGGGAGGGAGGGAAAGAGAGAGAGAGAGAGAGAGATTGAAATTCACTAGCAAAATTGGAAGAGTTCTGGGGATCATCTCCAAGTCTTGAGGTTGTAAACTCAAGGTTTTTCACTGGCCTATTTCTCCAAAGTCTCCAGTGTAGTCTGTTAACTTGTGAACTTGTAATTTGTGAACTTGATGAGATCAAAGAGTCTCATCATAATCCCAGTCCCAAAATCCCAATCATCAAGCAAAATCCCACATGACGTTACTGTCAATCAGGTGAATTAATTAGGGTGTCTTTCGGAAACTTCACAGATACCCATCTCCACGTCTCCTTAGACAGCTCTGGGTGGGACAGCTCATTGGAGAAGAGCTTGAGTTCACGTAGATGGAAATGTCTCCCTTTCAGGTTCGGTGGGGAGAAAAGGGATCGACCGAAGAAGGGGCAAAGCTGGAGAAGGCCAAGAATGCCCGAGTCAAGATGCCAGAACAAGAGTACGAATTCCCAGAGCCAAGGAGTCTCGGAAATGGCATACGCAGGTCCTCCTCACCCCACAAGTGGTATTCGCCTATCAAGGTACGTCTCTTTGCTGTTGGGTTTATTACGGCGATAATAAAGATTTCGTGCACATTGAGACATCACCACACAAATGGTGTCTAAAAGAAGCGTGCATGACTTCATCCTCGCTTATCACAGTTGCCCAAACCTCAACTGTCCTCTCGTCCTTGCACCAATCCTCTGTAGCTTAAAGTTAAGAGGGAGAGAGAGCATACATGTTATCTGTGAGAATGAAAATTGATTGTGTTGACTTTCATTGGATTTGAATGTCAGGTTGATCTCTTTTTCTGGGAGGCCTGCTGTCCTACCTACTGTATTTTTTAAAAAAAATAATAATAATTCTATTAAATATTACGATTAAAAAGATAAAAAAACTAATGCAATTCTTCATAATTAGGAACCATTTAATACAGGGGTCTCCAACCTTGGCAACTTTAAGCCTGGAGGACTCCAACTCCCAGAATTCCAGATCTTTGCTGGCTGGGGAATTCTGGGAGTTGAAGTCCTCCAGGCTTAAAGTTGCCAAGGTTGGAGACCCCTGATTTAATACACAGCATTATGGAATTCATCCATAATGACTTCAGAGCTTCCCTAGACTCAACCTACTTGTACCAGTTTTCTTCCCCTGGTTAAACTCTCTTTCTTGCCACCGTGCTGGACTTATTTTGTAACTCTGGTAACGAGGAAGAAGAAAGGAAAAATGTAGGAGGGTGATTGGAGAGGATGGAGTTAAGCCCTGTCCTCCTGCTGTTTGAGTCCTCTGCCCCCTTCCCCCACCCCACCCTACTCAAACTTATAAAATAAACTTGGCTTTGGAATCCTTGTCTGCTCATAACATCTTCTAGGGAGGGATTACCTGGAATCCTGCCCATTTCCAGCTTTAACAGAATTTAAAACATGAGACAAAAGTATAACAGCTTTATTTGCAAGTCCGCTTCCACTTCTCGGGGTGTTGAGCCAAATTCCTAGCTATGTTTGACAGTCTGAATGGAGCTAACCAAAGAGACAAATGCAGAATGCCCCCTTAGCTTGTTTATCAGATCGACATTGGATTTAATCTTTTTGGTGCCACGTATGGAAAACAAACAGTCTTTCCCCCCAAAAAAACAGCATGGAAACAAGCAATGCTTAAATGTGCAGTTGTTGCATATAAAAATAGCTCTCCGGTGAACATGGGTTCATGCACAATGACTGTAAATTTGGCGCAGAGTAGGCTGTTTCAACCTATTATACACGCCGTGGTGGCGCAGTGGTTAGAGTGCAGGACTGCAGCCTACTTCTGCTGCCTGCCGGCTGCCAGAAATTTGGCAGTTTGAATCTCACCCGGCTCAAGGTTGACTCAGCCCTCTATCCTTCCGAGGTTTGTAAAATGAGGACCCAGATTGTTGGGGGCCATATGCTCACTCTGTAAACCACTTAGAGAGGGCTATGAAGCACTGTGAAGTGGTATATAAGTCTAAGTGCTATTTCTATTCCTTCCTTGCTTCTTTCCCTTCTTTCTTCTTCCTTCCTTCCTCCTTCCTTCCTTCCTTTTCTTCCTTTCTCCTTCACCTTCCTGGTGCTGCAGTGCTCAGAATGTAGTATTGTAGGCTAACTCTGCCCACTGCCAGGAGTTCGATCCTTGACTCAGCCTTCCATCTTTCTGAGGTGGGTAAAATGAGGAACCAGATTGTTGCGGGCAATATGCTGACCCTTAGAGAGGGCTGTAAAGCAGCAGTATATAAGTCTAAGTGCTATTGCTATTCCTTCCTTCCTTCCTTCCTTCCTTCCTTCCTTCCTTCCTTCCTTCCTTCCTTCCTTTCCTCCCTCTCTCAGTGGTTAGAATGCAGTATTTCAAGCTAACTCTGCCCACTGCCAGCAATTCGATCCTGACTGGTTCAAGGTTGACTCAATCATCCATCCTTCTGAGGTGGTAAAATGAGGACTCAGATTTTTGGGGGAAAATATGCTGACTCTGTAAACCACTTAGAGAGGGAGGTAAAGCGGTATATAAGCTCTGTAAAGCGGTATATAAGTCTAAGTGCTATTGCTATTATCTCTGCACCCATCCATGGATTGACTTGTCTCTGGATTCCCCTGACTGATGCTCAAGGCTACTTCATAGCATTATCCTAAAATGGACAGGGGACCACCTCTTCTGCCTAAATTCAAGGGTGAATGTTGACATGGTCTCGAGAGAAAGAGGAATTCAAAAGCATGTGAAGGACATTTGTTACATACCTACATTTGTTCATTGATTGGCAAGGCTCTGGTGGCTCAGCAGACTAAAGCACTGATTAACATCCACTTACATCTGTTGCCTGCAATTACTGCAAGTTCAAATCTCCCCAGGCTCAAGGTTGACTCAGCCTTCCATCCTTTCTAAGGTAGGTAAAATGAGGACCCAGATTATGGGGGCAATAAGATGACTTTGTATAAATATACAAAAGTATGAAGGCTATTGCTTAACGCATTGTAAGCTGCCCTGAGTCTCCGGAGAAGGGTGGCATATAAATCAATTTTTTTTAAAAAAAAGAGTTCATCTATTTCTTCTGCTTGTTAGGTGGCCTGTAGTATACACCCTTAGCAATGTCATTTTTTTCTCTTTTATATTTAGATATCATATTTTATATTGATATTTCCTTTTATATTCACCCAGCACTGAACCAGCAGTCCTGCTTATACTGCATTATGATCAAGATTGTCCTAAAAATATCAGCCTCTTGGGCCAAGAAAAGCTGGGTTTTGTGGCATGCATAAATTAGGCATTTCTAGCACGAATTTTTTTTTAACTTCTTTTTGGTTTTTGCTTGGCTTTGCATAATTAATTCTGCTTCTGCCAGACCTTGGAAAAAAACAAGGGCTTGTGAAGGTCTCAAAAGTTCACTAGAAACTCGATCCAGCCATTTATTGGGATCTCAAGATTCCAATGTTGTAGAAGGACTAGAATATTATTATTCCTTTTAAAAAAGGAAGAAAAATAAACTTGATAGTTTGGTAGCTGAATTCCAGGACCAGCAGGTTTCCTATTTTTCCTGCAATACTGTTGCACGTGTCTGCATGTTAGCCTCCAAACTAAATTCAAACTATTTACATGCCCCGAGTTCACATTTCCCACTATACCGCCATGTTTAATTTATTCCAAATAGAATAGAATGAGTAAGCTGGAAGGGACCTTGGAGGTCTTCTATCTCAGCAGCCCTCTGCTCAAACAGGAGAACCTATACCATTTCAGACAAGTGACTGTCCAGTCTCTTCTTAAAAACTCCAATGATGGAGCCCCCATGATTTCTTGTGGCAAGCTGTTCCAGTGATTAATTGTCCTCCCTGTTAGGAGGTTTCTCCTTAATTCCAGGTTGCTTCTCTCCTTGATTAGTTTCCATCGATTGTTTCTTGTCCTGCCCTCTGGTGCTTTGGAGAATAATTTGACCCCCTCTTCTTTGGGGCAGGCCCTCAAATATTGGAATACTGCTATCATGTTACCCCTAATTCTTCTTTTCTTTAGACTATCCAAACCCAAAACCTGCAGCCATTCTTCTATGTTTTAGACTCCAGGCCTTTGATCATCTTAGCTGTTCGAAGATATTTTGGTTTTGTTTGTTCTACGCATCCCCCTTCCATTACGTTGCCTTCATCTTCTCCTCAACCCACCCCAGAAGCAGGTCTAGTAGGCCAACAGCTTTGGAGCTCCTCATGGTCTTATCCCTAAAAGGCCAACAAGTTGACGTGTTTCACCAGTCTTTTTGCTGATGGATTGTCAGATGGCTTGGGCAATCAACCAGCTTCCATTGGCCATTCTAGGCCAAGTGAAGGAATGTCCCCTTCCTTTCCATTGGGAGGACACTGTCCTCCAAGGCTTTTCTGCTTGGAGATGGGGAGAGTCTGCATCCTTCAACTGGGAGAGTTTGCATCCTTCAAAGAGTCCTATTTCCCTGAATACAACAAGCTCCTGAGCTTTCTCAACCCAGAGGCATCAATGAACCAGTTGATAAGTTGGACCATGAAGTGGGAGAAAACAATCTGCCTTTATCTTGCATCATGGTTGAACTCCATCATCATCCTACACCCATCAGCCGTGGCTTGGGCTGTTATGGACTCTGGTTGTGAACCTCTGGTCTACATCAGTAAACTTAGATGGCCTTTTATTTTGGATCATTTCTGGGATCCCTATCTCAAGAAAGGGGTTGGATTAAATTAGGGGGTCTCCAACCTTAGCAACTTTAAGACTTGTGGACTTCAACTCTCAGAGTTCCTCAGCTGGCTGAGGAACTCTGAGAGTTGAAGTCCACAAGTCTTAAAGTTGCTAAGGTTGGAGACCCCTGGATTAGATAAGGTCCTTCCAACATGCAGGTTTTGTGGCTCTATGTCCCTTTTCTTCTATGAGCCTTGTTTTTTAAAGACTTTGCACATTTTCATGTAGGCTCTAGGTATTAAAAACTGCTGTAGCAACAAAGAGAAATTTGGTACCAAAATCATATTTTGGGACACAGGACCTGCTTTAAATTAAGCCTTGCAGATGGGTATTTGGATGAAGAGCAGCCTCTACAAACATGTTAAAAATAAGAAGAAAGCGAGGAGCCCATTTTTTCCCCTATCAAAATGACTTTCCATTGTTATTTTCTCCTTTGTAGCTAAAAAATCTGGAATATTGCCACTGTAAGACATGCTCATTTATTTATCCACATTTCTTTGAAGAATCTTAGTGGATTGACGTAGCCTCTCCTTCTTCAGCTGGGAGACAGAATGCCCGACCCACAATCACTGTGAGACTTACAGGATGGAGCAGGAATCTGACATCTGCTCTCTCTGGTGTGTTGCGCATCCTTTGGGCTGTCTGTTGTTGCATGGAAAAAATGAGACATGCTCTCCAGACAGGCCTGGGCTCTCTTCGTGTTTACATTCACCACAATTGTGTCTGTGGGTGCAAGGGAGCTATGCAAAAAAGCCACAACCCTCCTCCTTGAGAGAGGTTCGCAACATGGCTTTCTGTGCAACCCAGTTGGCTCATCGTAACTGCCTACTTATTTCCTGCAATGAACATACTTTAGAAATATCCCTCTGGCCCATGGAGTGACTGTTCCTTAGCTTGAGTGACCCTCAGGGAAATAAACCTTTTTGTTTTAAAGATATCAAGTCTTCTTTTTTTAAAATCCAATTCAAATGTTAAAATATCCAGTCTTTTCACCATATCTTGATATTTAATCCATTAGTTATTTTCAAGAGTTAGTTGTTTATCGGGTCTTGGTCTCTTTAAAGTTGCATTTTTTATTATTTTATTTTTATTAGTCATATTTCTATGCCGCCCACTCTCCGAGGACTCTGGGCAGCTTACACCAAAGACAGTATACTAAATAGCATATTGCGCCCAACAATCTGGGTCCTCATTTTACCCACCTCAGAAGGATGGAAGGCTGAGTCAACCTTGAGCCGGTGAGATTTGATCCGCTGATCTGCTGAACTAGCAGTCAGCTGAAGTAGCTGCAGTACTGCACTCTAACCACTGCACCACCTCGGCTCATTATTTTAAACTTTCCATAGCCCCTTTGTTATTCAGCCGCTGTTTTATGGCTAGGGGTCTTATAGATAATAATATTGCTCTAGGCGTTGCTACAAGCCTGGGTTGGTTGTCACTCACCCAGCTTCAAAGAGCTCCGTTTCAATCCATTTTCCTCCAGCACATCTCTTAGCCCGGTTGTCCCAGCTTCGTGGCAGCCGCCATGGCTGCCTCCCCCTGCCGCCGACTCATAGAGGATTCCCTCTGACCTCTGAGGAACTTGCCTGTTCCTCTTGATCTTCCGAGGTGTCCCTCCTTTTTCCCCGTCCCTACAGGACGGTTCCGGTCCGAAGACCCATCTCCGGCGGTTCGGCAGCCGGGGTTTTCGCGGCACTCATCAGAGCCCGCTATTTCCCCAACTGTCTCGCTGTGACACCAAACCGGAAGTCGGAAGTAAACCTTTTGAAGACTGACCATGTTTGTGTTTGTGGGGAGGTGAGGAAGATGTGCTTCTGTCTCAAGTGTTTGGTGAAGGACCGTAGGAGACCTTCAAGATATTCCTGTAGGCGTAGGCCAAGGACCTTCCAAATCCAACATTTAGGGTCAGAGCGTTCAACCAGGTAGAGCCAGGAAGCTCATAAGCATGCATGAGAAGGCAATAGCTCTCCTCCATTATTGCTTTCTCACATTTTTCTTTTGTACTGTTTTATCTTCTTGTTTTCTGCCCCAAAAATGGAGCAGAGTATAAATACTAGAAATCAGTCAGTCAATCAATCAACTGATCTAATGTTTGCAGGAGTATAGTGTGGTCTTTAGAGATTCTCAAGTCATCCAGGTCAAGGTTGTCCCAAAGGTGCTTTTACAGGAGGCAACCGGACTTTCTTGTTTATTTTCTTTTGAAGATGTTTCGCTTCTCATCCAAGAAGCTTCTTCCACTCTGACTGCATGGTGGAGTCAGGATACCCTGTCAGAGCGGAAGAAGCTTCTTGGATGAGAAGTGAAACATCTTCAAAAGAAAATAAACAAGAAAGTCCGGTTGCCTCCTGAAAAAGCACTTTTGGGAGATGGTGAGGTCTTGAGACCATCCTTTCTGGATGGAGTACATCTTTGTGTGAAATCGGGTTTGTCCATAATCCACAAATCCCTCTAGAGGAGCAGGCACAGATGGCCCTGAAAACGGATGGCTGAGACGCTTCTCCAACTGGTGACCCTTAGAAACGTTAGGCTTCAAGAGCCTTGATAGTACAGTGGTCTAAGCACCCTGTTATTAACACAGCTGCCTGCAATTTACTGCTGGTTCGAATCTCGCCAAGGCTCAAGGTTGACTCAGCCTTCCATCCTTTCTAAGGTAGGTTAAATGAGGACCCAGTTTGTGGGGGCAATAAGCTGACTTTGTATAAATATACAAAAGGATGAAGGCTATTGCTTAGCGCATTGTAAGCCGTCCTGAGTCTCCGGAGAAGGGCGGCATATAAATCAAATTTAAAAAAAAAAAATTCTTAGCATTCCTTCCCAACATCATCCATGATTGTGTTGGGGTACCTAAAATCAAATACGTATCTGCTCCCCAATAAGAAGGCTGAGAAAGTAGCCCAATTGTTTTTAGTACCATAGATTGTTCATAGAGTGTCTTTTTTCTCTCTCATATGTCAGGCAAGATGGTATTTTGATTTCTTAATTTTATAACATCGACGGAAAAGGTGAATGTGCTTTCGTGCTTCTTTTGCCAACTGATTTGTCTTGTGCCAATCTTGCAACGGATATTTGATGCCATTTCCTTGTTTTACAGGGAAAGCTGGATGCCCTCTGGGTTCTTCTGAGGAAAGGCTACGACCGGGTGTCCGTCATGCGACCACAGCCAGGAGACAAGGTAACCTTCACTCGGGGCTGCATGCAGCTTCTCTGGGTTCTCCCTCCAAACTCTCTCTGGCCATTTAAAAATGTGTGCGAACTTCATCTCCCAGAATCCCCCAGCCTGCCAGGAATTCTGGGAGCTGAAATCCACACAATTTAAAGTGGCCGAGTTTGAGAAGAACCGCTCTAAATGTTGTCAAAGAATTGCAATGTGTAATAGGATTGAAGGGGAAAGTTATTAAATATATGAGGAAAAAATTGCATGTATATATAAATATACTTATGGAGTTTAGTTATTTAAAATTACATTTTAATTCTTTCCATACAGCATTTGGTTTTCTTCTGTTCCCTTATGCTTATTGGAATGTGACTCCCTGCTCAAAAGACAATTGTGGACCTCAACCCCAAAAGATTGTGTACCTCTAATGAACACACAAACAAAATGAAATAACTGAGGCTAATTTAGAAAAGATACCCATTTGTGGTGTAGCCATCCACAGGAAAACAAAGACTTGGTGATATTAAAAAGCCTTTGACTTGTCTGTAACTTAAAGGCAAAAAGATTTCGATCAAAAATGGCTCCAAATATTTAAAACAATGTGTGATTTTTTCCATCTTAGAATCCTTATTTGGGATTTTTCTCTTGTGTAAGGGTGACTATAAAAAGTCTCCGTGGCAAGGGATTTTCAGCTGTTAGGCAATTCAAACTGGAGATTTTCTGGAATGGCTCACAGCCTTCTGCTTGAGAAAGAGGCTGGACTAGAAGACCTCCAAGGTCCCTTCCAACTCCGTTATGGTGTATTCTGTACTGTTTGCCAGACAAATCCTCGCAGTGCGAGCAGCTAAAGTCCCAGAGCTGCTGATTATCTGAATCTGTTTCCTGTTCCTTTAAATTTTGTTCCATTGAAAAGCTGGTAAAGATCCCCTCTGGAGCAGTTTTATAACAAAGGGATGATGTAAGAATTAAGGCTAAAGCGATATAAATGCTGCTCTGTTATATCTGTGCCAAGCATTCCTGATAGTTTTGCTTCTTACTTAACATGTATTTTCTATAAAGTGAGCAGAAAAGCATGCTCTATAGAAAAAACATGTATTTTCTATGAAGCATTTCCTTGCCGTCTCACAAATTTCAATTGCTCCGATAGAGACCAGGAAACCATGTGTTTCTGGGACACACACACACACAGCTGCTCAAAACTCAGCCTCTTCTTCCTACGGATCCTGGTTTTATTCTTTCTCCATGACTCCAGTTTCCCTCTTTGATTGGAGAACCATCCTAGGGCATTGCCACCAACCTCGGTCACCAAATTACCAAACAACAGTGGTGCAGTTTTCTGGTGATTTTTGGCAAGAAAATACAAAAAAGTAGAGTTGAAGGGTTACCCAACCCATTCATGCTTTAGAATCCCCCCGTTTTTTTTAAAGGAGGTGTAGAGCAGTGGCCCCCAAACTTTGGGGCACCAGGGACCATTTCCGTGGAGAGAGGTTTTCCCGTGGACCAAAGGGGCCTTGGTTTCACATGCTGCCTGTATCCCATGGATGGGGCTTCACTTGTTTGTGTGGCCCAGGTTCTGGCATGCCGTGGCCCAGTGCAGGTCCATGGACAAGGGATTGGGGACCCCCGAGATAGAGACCAGAAACAATCTGCAGATTGGAAACTGGCCTCAGTTAGACTCCAGTGGTATTGCACATGAGTTCTTGCCAACTGGGATGGGATTTCATTTTCCAGAATCTCTCAGGAAGGCTGGTTTGTGTCACCGATGGAAGGAGAGAAGCCTTGGCCAAGGGATATCCGGTAGAGGGCAAAAAAGTCAGGATGGCATCCACAACCGTGTGGCAAGAATCGAGGGCAGAGCTTCCATCATGTGGTTGTGCCCCACAACTTGGCTTTTTTTGACCCCCAGTCATTCTTGTAGAATTCCAGTTTACAGTGGCAAAGACGCCTGGGGAAATGTTCCTCAGCCCATGGTCCCCAGCCTCGCATCATCGAGGCAGGATTGTTCAAAAATACTGCCGGCGAGGCAAAAGGCAAATCCCTTTTCTGAAGCTAATTTTCAAGGACAGGGTTGAACAAAGTTGTGAAATGCGTTTCCTTGAGGAAGGTTGCCACCACGCACAGCTGTTTGCAATCAGAGCAAAAGACGATGGTGACATGGGAGGCTCATGGTTGGCTTGCATTTGCAAGAGCCGACGTTTGCAATTTTCTCGGCATTAATGAGGTTATTTTTACTTTCAGGAGGAGAGCCCAAATGCCCACGTGCCTTCCCCACCTTAAAATGAGGCACCAGGGCTGCCACCCCCCCATAACAAGATTATTAATACAAATCAAATAAACCTAAACCTAATTAATAGGATTGGGAATGGGGGTCTTAATTAATGGGGCAACCACTTGTGGGATTCTGCAGCTGTGTTTTGCATTTGCATGATAAACAGTGGCTTTTTAAGGCGTTTGTTAGCCAGCTATCAAATGTCTTCCAGCTCAAAGCTTCGGGGGCTCTTAAAGCTGTCCAAAAACTGTTTTATCTCTCCCCTCCTTCCAGTCTCTGCGTTAAAAAGAAAAATTGCTAACAGCACAATCTTGCATGCAAAATAAGGCAAGGAAGGATTTACATTTTCAAGAGCTGATATTCTTTGCTATTTATGAATATTTATTACTTTCTGTATAAAGTATAGTCCTTTAACACCGAGGTAGCAATAAATCAAGGTAGCTGTCAACTTACAGTACTTTAGTTAGTGATGGTTACAATGTCACTGAAAAAAAGTAACTTCCCAATGGCTTCTCCACTGACTTTGTGGGAAGCCAAATGGCCATCACATGGTCACAATCATTGAAAATATAGAATAGGAATAGGACTAGAATTCCTATTCTATTATTCTGTTCTGTTCTGTTCTGTTCTATTCTATTTCAATTTGATTCAATTTATATGCCGCCCGTCTCCGAAGACTCAGGGCGGCTCACAGTACATTTAAAATCCTAATAAAAAAATTTAAAAATTAAAAACATTAAAACATTAAAACTCATTCATACCATTCATGGCCGGATCTCGCCAGATCGCAAGAGCGAGATCAACGGCCCCAGGCCTGCCTACTCTACTCTACTCTACTCTACTCTACTCTACTCTACTCTACTCTACTCTACTCTACTACTCTACTCTACTCTACTCTACTCTACTCTACTCTCTAATCAGTGGAACAACTTGCCTCCAGACATTGTGAATGCTCTAACACTGGAGGTTTTTAAGAAGAGATTGGACAACCATTTGTCTGAAACGGTACAGGTTCTCCTGCTTGACCAAGGAGCTGGACTAGAAGACCTCCAAAGTCCCTTCCAACTCTGTTATTCTCTCCTCTCCTCTTTCTTGTCTCTCCTCTTCCCAAGACATTCAGAATTCGCAGTGTGTCCTGTGTTTGCCGTGGCCTACCATAAGGTCTCGTTTTTGCTTGTCTTTCAGGGACGCTGCATTAACTTCACTCGAGTGAAGACCTCCCAGGCGCCGCCCAAGTACCCACTCAACAACACCTACCACCCTCCATCCCCACCCCCCGCCCCTGCTTACAACCCTCCACCCCTTGCCCCCATTTACACCCCACCCTCCCCAAGCTCACCCACGCCCCCCACCCCTTCCCCACCTTCCACGCTGCTTCCACCCGCTCCTCATGCTCCTCCCCCCAACCGGGCCCCTCCCCCTTCCCGCCCCCCTCCTCGCCCTTCTGTCTAAAGGCCAAGCCGCTCTCCCCCAGAAGCATTTCTTCAGCCATTTTCCCCAGGACTGTTTCAATTCCATTAACAGAAGTGGCCTTTGCGTTCTGGGCAACGAAAAGAAGAAACTGCTTTTATCGTTACTTTAAAAAAAAAAACAACAACAGAAAACCCTGATGCCTCAACTGGACCAGAAATCTCAAATCATCTGTTTTCAGTTCCAAAAGAATCTTTGCAATTCATAGGAAGGAAGGAAGGAAGGAAGGAAGGAAGGAAGGAAGGAAGGAAGGAAGGAAGGACGGAAGGAAGACTGCAGGATAAAGATGGGAGAGAATGCATCACTGGGCAAAGCCATTAGTCCCTGGAAAATGGCTTTCTCCATAAATTAGTGGTGGGAATGTCTGCAAAAGATCCTTCTTGTGATCGCAGAATCCACTGCAGCCCAACACAAGGCCATTCTGCTGGAATCTTCTACCAGGGGCATATTTTTCATGGGTCTGGATTGGGTGTGTGGGCTGCAAGAAATACAGGATATGATAATGGATGGAGAGCAGGACCTTCCACTTTGCAAAATCGAAAACAAAACATTGTAGTTTCTCAGCTACGGACAGGCGATCATGGAAATTGGAGAGCCAGATTAGGATGGGAAGAAGTTCCACCATCCTCTGAGGATACCTTGGCAGATATCCTGGGCCAATGTCTAAACACCTGAAAGCGTCAAGGAGCAGTTTTGATTTTATAGGAAAAACACAAAGCCGCTGGAAATAATGCCCAACACGATCTCCTCCTCAGATTCTTCTTATTAACATAGGTGACCAAATGGGTCAAATTCTGGGTGAAGTTTCCTGCTGGCCAGCTTAGAAAAATAACCAACCCAGATTGACAGCAGGACACCAGAGTCAACCAGGGTGAGATGCAGAGAGAACTGGATTAACGTGACAATTATATACGCCAAGTGTTTTTTTTTTCTTCTTCTTTTATTCTGAATAACTATGGTTAGAATATGGATTGTTGGAAGCTCCCAGGTACGGTTTATATTATGCAATTGCTCTGCTCTAAAACAAGATTCCTATGCAGGGAGAGGGGAATAAGACAGCTAACTATTTCCATTTCTACGTCTGCCAGTTTTCCTTTTCCATTTTTTTCTGGTTTTCTGTTGCCATAAAAATAGCAATCAAGAAGGAAAAACGGAAGAACGAAGAGAGTTTTTGGAGATGATAACGAAGATATTTTTTTTTCCCCAGCGGGTTCATATATGTTGACTTGGTTTTGTGGATTGTGTGATGGATGTCTAGAAAGAGAGCGGAGGCAGAGGGAATTTTTCTAGATGTGTTCTAGATCTCAGTCTTATTTTCCGGGATATAGAAAGAGGCCGGCAGAAGATCTGATGATGTCGCCCTGGCTGGGTTTACTCATCGGATTAGGCCCTAGGTTAAAATGGGATGAAATACAGGGAGTCTTAGACTTACGACGACCATAATTGAGCCCAAAATTGATGTTACTAAGCAGGACAAGTGTTGAGTGAATTTTGTCCCATTTTACGACCGTTCTTGCCACAGTTGTTAGGCGAATCACTGCACGTGTTAAATTAATAACACGTGTACTTGTTAAGTGAATCTGGCTTCCCCGTTGACATTGCTTCTCAGATCACAAAAGAGGACCCCAGGGAAGACTGCAACTGTCCTAAACAGAAGTCAGTTGCCAAGCATCTTTTAATTTTGATCGTGTGACCATGAAGATGTTGCAATGGTCATATGTGTGAAAAACGGTCGTAAGCCACTTTTTTCAGTGCCTTTGTAACTTCCAAGGGTCGCTAAATGAACTGTTGTTAAGTTGAGGATTACCTGTATTTTGCAATTCAGACATCCCATCAAACCAGAGTTTGGTTGAGCCATTTGGGCAGAGGTGGCTTGCTTGTGTTATCCAGGTTTGAGGTTTCATGGGGGGGAGGGGCGACATTCAGCCTGCGTGTAATGGTCACCTCCACTTCTGGCCTCTAAAACTCTGAATGCCTTGGGACTGTTTGGATTGTGATGGATAGAAGAAAAGCAGAAAATAACTTGCAAATGAGAAATGCAGAAGGTGGTATTGTGTGCAAAGCACACTCCCGTCTCTGCAAAGTCGGGTGTGAAAGTCGGTAGGTTGTGTTGTTTTTTTTTAAAGAATGGACCAACTCATGGAGTCCTTTCGGGAGTTCCTACCTGGCTTCTGACTGCACAATGATTCAACTCCATAGGATCTTTTCTAAGGCTGAAGCTTTCCATTTGATCTATTTTCATGCCAGCAGAGACCGAGAGATTCCCAGTGTACTAACAACGACGTAAAACTATAAAACAAGCGATGGTCTCGGCTGATTCCGTCCTCCAAGGACTGAAGACCAAAGCATGAAAGGACACGGTTGACGTTAAGCATGGAAAACCAATGTCCTGGGGAAGGGGGAATCCTCTTTTTGGGGGGACACGTACCCAGAGCTGCTTCTTCAGCACCAGAGAAGATTCAATTGCTCTTTTCCATAGATCTTTCTTCCAGAACAGGTAACTGCTGTGTCTGCAGGCAGAACAGTGAAGACTCTCTCCCCCAACACACACACTCACTCTTTTGGCCTCTGCCATGTGAGATCCCTCTCCAGAAATATCCTTTCTTTGGGTTACAGCTTGTAATCAATTTGATCACCCCGGTTAATCCTCTTGGGGAAGCCATGACACCCAGTTTCGCTGGTTAGCAATGGTTGGGCACAATCGACTTGAGTAGCTAATCTGGATTTCTTCCAGATGGAGCTGGCTGGATTAAATCAAGAAGCCAGCAGGGATGAATGGGAACTCCAGAAAAATAGCTTTGTCAGGTTGTGTCGACAGCAGAGCGAGATCCTCAGCGGAGGTAAAGTCAGATCGGTGGTCACAAACTCTTGTGATCAAAGCTTTACCTATTTAAAAAAAGGTTGGGACTTCCATTGCATGGCCCCCATCTTGACTTTGGCCCCTCCCCACGGATAGCCTCTCTTCAGATTGCGCTCAGAAATATTATTACTGTAGTCGTATCATATAAAAATAGATTTTACCCCTTATAGTTGATCCATGGTGCCTCAAAATGTGCCAAAACAACTTTGAAAAACAACCCCAGCATTTTCTCTCTCTTTTTTTTAATTGCTAACTGCACGGGGACAACTTGAGAGGGAGTGCAATTTTAAATAGCATCTGGTTTTATTAAAAGTTTTCGTCTTCCCAATTCTAGGCTCAAAAAGAATATAAATTCCTAGGGCAACAGGGAAAGAGTACGAAATAATAATAATAAAAAAAATGGTAAATCCAGACAAAGAAGCTACGCAAAATACAAATAGGCACGAGTCCTGTGCACAAGTGAAAAGCGAAATTCCAAACCTGTGGTGTATATATTATTATTTGTGTGCTTGCCATATTTTCAATGGAAGCATCTCCTATTCATTGTGGATAAAAGATCTTGGGTTTTTTTTTTTTTTTCCACATTGTAGTAAGTTATTATAAAAAGCCGATGATATTTCATGGCCTATTATTGTATCAAGCTGTGCTTGTTTTCGTTTTTTTTTTTCTCTTTATGGTTGTATTGCTTTTATTGATGTATAAATAGTGTCTGTAAATGACAAGCACCTCCTTTACAAAGCATTAATTGTGATCACCGGCCATCTTCCACCCAACCAGCAGGAAAGCTGGTGGGATAGCACTTGAGGGCCTCTTGAGCTTCGGTGGAGACCCTGCCCATTCCTTGCCCTGAATTTCCATTGAAATCGCATTGCAGGAGAAAGCCCCCTCCCTCTCCCCATGGTAGGGGAGATCGACCCATGACAGCACAAGCTAGAACTGGAAAAAGCAATAGGGCAGTGTTTCTCAACCTTGGTAGCTTGAAGATGGGTGGACTTCAACTCCCAGAATCCCCCAGCCAGCAGCGCTGGCTGGGGGATTCTGGGAGTTGAAGTCCACCCATCTTCAAGCTTCCAAGGTTGAGAAACACTGCAGTAGGGTTTTGCCTGCTGGGAAGGGATTCTGTGCATCCTCCATCCTTGGTGACAGGAGAACATCCTGCGGAAGTGCTTCAAATGTTCTCATCTCAGGGACCAAAAATAAATCCAGACATCTGCTGTTACAGATGGTGCCCAACACTTCTGCAAGGTGTTGCATGTCTCAGCAGAATGAGCTGTTTGTAAGGCCTGAATCCAAGCAGTGCTGGAGTAGAACCTTCTCATCCCATATAAACGGGATGCCAGCATTCCAAGTGATGCACCCATAGAAAGCAGAACTCTTGAGGTAGACAGGGAATTCCTCAAAGAACAGTTTATTGCAGGGGTCTCCAACCTTGGCAACTTTAAGACTTGTGGACTTCAACTCCCAGAATTCCCCACCACCTGTTTGTCTAGGACAGGGGCTAGTCAACCTGTTAGTCTAGCAAAGCTGGACTGAGGAACTCTGGAAGTTGAAGTCCACAAGTCTTAAATAAGGTTGGAGACCCCTGGTTTATTGGATACTTCATGTTGGCACAACTGGGGAAAGCAGACTCTGAAATTTCCCGTGGCTTTCACCTGATTAAAAGTTTTCCTTCCCCCCTCAAGTCACTGGTCATATCTGTCCAATCCAGGGACTGGCCGGTTGCCTGGTTACTTGCTCCTCCTCTGGCCGGCTAGCCACCTGTGAGAATGACCTTGGTTCCCACAGGAAAACTGAGCCAGGTTCACTTCAGGGTTGACATGGAGGCGTCCAAGATGCGACGATGTCGATAAGAGCAAGGAGCGTGCGAGGGGGTTCTTTCCCAGGGCTCGGGATAGGCAGACCCACAATTGCTCGGATGGCTTCTCTTTCCGGGTGTCACAAACGCGGTCAACTCAAAGCATTCCAGCACCCGGAACCGAGAAGCCAAGACTGGAAGCGCTCAATTTGGCTCGGTGACACTTAATGTTCTGTGACAGTGAGGTTGAACTGGGGTAGTACCATGTATGGGCATACAGTACTGTGTAGGCAACTTCTCTTACTAGGAAGTCTCGATGTATTAAATAATGCAAAATTAGCCATTCTAAAGAATTCCTTGCCGAATGGAGCAAGATCGGATTCAATTGAATAGCACTGCAGGGTTTTTGTGTGTGTGTGTGCAATTTTTTGAAAATTGAAAAAAAAAAATTACCTGCAGATGACAACAGATCAACCTTGGTGAACTAATATGTCATCCATGGGATTATGAATTCAAGCAGTCCAGGGATTCCTGCTTGAGCAGGAGGTTGGACTAGAAGACCTCCAAGGGGCCCTTCCAACTCTGCTCCTCTGTACCCAGCCCGGCGGGCCAATCGCAGGAGACAAGGCAGAGCCACCAATCCGGCCCTGTGGGGGGACCAAGTGGAAACGGGCAAATGGGGGCAGCTGGTACAGCGGGGTGGAAATGGGGCAATTCGTGATTCTTCAGCCAGCATAAAGAAATTATCCTGTGCCTTTGGCTTGTTTATATGAGTCATTTTTTTTTTAAATGCAGTCATTATTCTGTCAGTTCTGATGTTATTAAAAAAAAATAATCCGAGCTTTGGTTTTTATGTTCAATTTGTAGAAAAAAAGAAAGTGATGGATGAGGCAGCTGGCTTGGAACTCGTACAGCGGCCCCTCCCTTTCCTGCTCCCCCTCCCCAAAATATTTGGTCTTGTATTTGTGGACACCACCTCAGCCAGTGACTGCAGCTGAATAATTTACACCACTGAATTAATGGCTTTAATAGCTCAGTTGACATTTATATGTACAGTTTTAATTCTAAAATATCACCTTTAATGGATCATGGAGACCATTAAGTCCAACTTACTGATTGGGGTATAAATCCACATTCATATCGAAGACTCCCCAAGAAACAGCTGCCTGAACACACACACACATACATAACACACAGAGGTTGTTAGTTCCTTGTCTGGCACATAATGGAGATTTTCCCAAGGTTCAACCAGAACGACTTGAATATCACAACTGCTGGGACCACACAAGCTGTTCAATCAGCCACATTCCACAGCTCAGTGTTTTGTTGTTTGGCCAACCTGAGTTATGTTGCCTGAGAACATTAAGAGTTCACGGACCAAACGCTGTTGAAGGAGAACGTCTACCGGCCCAGAAGACGGTGTTTGAGGGAAGCCCCCTCCCCAAGAGACGGACCACATTAAGAGCCCATAAAGAGGTGGGGAATACCTGGCACGTTTGCCAAGAATGGTGGGCACGCATGGTTTTGCCTGCCTTCTGCCGATTCAGCCCAACTGGGCCAATGTGGGAGGTGACTGACCACTGGCAGAGTTCCTCGAAAGCTGACTGCGTGGAATACGAAGCCTCCCCAAAGTTGCAAATATCTGCAGAAAAAATGTGACTTTTTTTTTATAGAAAAGGCTTGGGAAGATGAGGGTGGCTGCAATAGTATGAATTCAGCTTTGATCTCTTATTTTTTTAAGATGTGTAAAAGAGGTGAGATTTTGATAAGAGTTGGGGAACAAAATAATATACCCCAAGAAGACTTACGCAGGGAATTCGTAAAATGAGTCCGACCAATGATTTCAAACAGGATGAAATGGCAGGCCTAACCATGCAGGCCTCTTCACCTTTGACGATGTTTCCACCAAAGACCAAATCTGGGTCGTTGCAGCTAGCACTTGTCCCTGAAGGAACGCCATCGGCCAAGGATGCTCAAGTAAGGAAGTTTACGCACTTGTCTTTATTCAAAGAGCAAGGTACAAAAAACAAAAAGAGAACCACCGAAATGATAAAAAGTTATACACAAAAACGAACTAGGGTCCCAATCAACCAAGACAAGCCGAATATCTACATTCAGAAACCAGAGGCCAGGTGTTCCACTTTCACACACGCACACACACAGGCCCAAGCCGGGACTGAATTGACTCGATGAGGCAGAGGACACAAAGCCAGGTGCCCTGGGCCAGTGGTACCCAATCTTTCTGGCTTTGCAGACTGTTTGGGGGTGGGGAGGAGGGAAGGAAAGGGTTCCAAGGGAGTGGCAGGCGGGTGTCCGCGCGCACAGCTCTGTGGTGGGCACCCGTGTGTGCGCGTGAGGCTCATGTCCGCCGCTTGCACAAACGGAGCTGCGTACAACACTCTCGCCTGCCACTTGAGCGGCTTGGCTCCAAACGAGCCATGGCCCAGTACTGGATAATGGCCTGGGGGGATTGTGGGCCCCTGCCCTGGAGAACGTTGGCCTTGGCAGGGAAAGTGCTTTGGGAATCCCCAATAGACTTATGGCTTTCCTGGGTGGAGGGTGGGCAGGTTAGAAGCATGGGGAAAGCTTCCTGCAGAAAACGAAGCAGGAAGACCTCTAGAGCAGAGATCTCCAACCTTGGCAACTTTAAGACTTGTGGACTTCAACTCCCAGAATTCCTCAGCCAGCTCAGCTGGCTGAGGAATTCTGGGAGTTGAAGTCCACAAGTCTTAAAGTTGCCAAGGTTGGAGACCCCTGCTCCTTACAGCTTGGCCTCCCTCCTGGACTTGTGGGTCATGTGGCTTCCAATGGAGAAATAGACCACAACAAGTATGGTCTATTTTTTTCCTGTTGAGCACATTCTCCCTGCCATGGGCTTCCCTGGCAGACTTAAGTGGAGACCAAGCTGAGTGAAGGGCCTCCTGCGGCCATCCTAAGTCTTTTGACTATGTTACGGGCAGCTCAGATGGGAACCCAGCAGCCCCCCGAGAACGATGGAGACCAAACATCTGGACATTACACAAACACCAACATTGGCCAAGAAACAACTTTTCATAATAAAATTTCTGAACTTTCCAGTGTTCCCTACAAACTACCATTTCTTTCACAAGCGGGAAGCGTCATTTTAGGAGGCACATGCCGTAGACTCCTATACACTTAGCAAGCGGTCCTTAAATTAGCTTCCGAGTAACGGATATACGGCTGGTCATTTCTCTCTCCCCCACCCCCACCCCCACGTGCACAGTGAGGGAGGAAGGATGCGTCACCCTATTAGGATATTTCTTATCCAGTAAAAGGGTGCCGAGAACAGACAGAGTTTAAATTTCCGTTGAGTTTCTGTGCAACTTGCCTTCCCTCCATTCTAAAAGTACAATCAATGAGAGCCCTTTTGGTGCCAATGTCTGTCCTGTTAATCAATGAGAAGGAAGTTGAAGGACGGCATATTCTGGTCACTCTTGGATTTTTACTGCGTTCGCCATCCTCTCTAGATTTCAGAGCTATAGGATGCTTCCGGAGGCATCTATTTATCTTTGGTCCTCTCCTTCCCTGCTGCACTTAGAATCCTTTTAGCTCTCTTGCCCACAGAGGAAATATCAGCATAATATCCACAAGTACGGAGGGCTGGGCTGATTTAAAAGATTGTTCAAAGCAAATCTATTTGGATTGAAGGAAATTCTGCCCATTTCTGATAAGTGGGGAAGCACGGGGCCCTTGAAGGACAAAAATGAACCAGGCATTTCACGGAGGCTTCACCTCCAATTCAAACTCTGCCGTAGTTTCCCCCTCTTGTTATCAGGAATAGCAACGCTATGCAGAATATGTCCAGATGGAAGAGGCAACTCCCTTGTTCATCCCTGGTTATCTAGATTCACTGGAAGAGACCTTTCACTCTTGCCCCTGGGAATCCACCAGACACGTTCACTGATCAAGGGAAGCAGAAGGACTAAAGAGCTGGTCCTCATTCAGTCATACTGGTTCAAGACAAGGCATTTTTTTCCACTCATGGCACCTTCAAAGGCTGGCATTTCTCTTTGATGCACTGAAAAATAAATTCCTTGGAAAAGGGAAATTTTACCGCACGTCACTTACAAAAACGCCAAGGTTAAGTCAACTTACAGTCATCTGACTTGACTCCCATTAAAGGGTCTTCACCTCAGGAGCAGCTATGCAGACCTCTGTTTAGGGACTGGCGGTGGTAGTGGGGTGGAGGTATTTTTGCCCCCTTTTTCAGGGCTGAAGGCGTGACACCAAACTCTAAAACGCAGGCCTCTGCAACCAAGGACGGATAGACGATTCTCCCACAACGAGTGGGCTGGAAAGAGTAATGCTCACAGAACAGATGTCTGGGGATGCAGAGGCTACCTAAATGTGGATTAACTAAGGGAGGGAAATGCACTGGCCGGCATAAACCTTAGAGCCAAAAAACAAAGTCCACCAAGACTCTCCCAATGGTGGCAATGGAGCACTTATGGGAAAGAAGGCAGCAGATTTTTGAGCCCTTCTCTGTCGTATGCAATTTCATTTCCATATCCCTGCACAATGAATGTCCAAGAGCAGGGGTCTCCAACCTTGGCAACTTTAAGACTTTGCTGGCTGAGGAACTCTGGGAGTTGAAGTCCACAAGTCTTAAAGTTGCCACAGTTGGAGACGCCCGTCCTAGAGATAACTAGGAAGCGGTGCAATTTTATATAACTGACGAGGATTACAATAAACAGGGTTTTTTTAAAAACAAAAAACCAAAAGGAGGAAAAAAAACCCATTACTCTTTGACTTCGCTGCCACTGAACAAATGCTACCAGGAGCTTTGTGGATTCAGCTCCTAACTATCACCAATGCAACAATTACAGTATAAAGATTTTTTTCCATATTGGAAGTAAGAATCGATCACGGGAGAAATGTTTTAAAATCAGCGGGGGTTTTTTCGGTACCAAAAGTGAAGGAAGGGGAGGAAATCCCTTTTTGTCAGCCTTGGGCGAGCAGCACCTCATTCCACCGTAACGGATTTGGCCAAGTTTCTTGGAAAGTCAACCTGGAAAGAAGGAAAAGGATATAGACGACTTGTTAACATCTTTTGTCGTAGTAGGAATTAAGGATGCTTGATGCTTCCTCAACACTAGCTTAGCTCAGAAGTCACGGATACATTTAACCCCCTGACATCACAGCCTGAAGTGAGCTGGGAAGGTGTATTGCATCATACTGTGTCCTGATTGGTTAGCTCTGTAGCCAATCTCCTTAAGAGGGAGCTAGAAACATGGTTTGTTTCTCTTTGCTGTTCTTGCTCTCTGATATCTCTGTATGCTACTGTTTGCAAATCCAGAAGAACTGTTTATTGTGAATGACTACGACGACTGGTAAGAAGACTTTGTTATTGGATTATCCCTGGACTGTTGTTTTGCTATCTCCTGCTTTATATGTGTATGACCTGGACTGTTTATTGGACTGTGCCTTACTATTTCCTGAAAGTAAACACAACTCAGTGTATCTGTGTATTGACTGTGTTTTATTCGTACCTACTCTCAATCGCTTTCATGTGCACACCCTTGCTATTCAAGGGTTACTCTGTGAATTCCTTAACAGGGGGCCGTGGCCAGGGTGGGCGTGGCCAGTTCAACGTCACTCATGCCGGGGGCGCCTGTGGCGGCCCAAGCGCTCTGCCAGTGAAAACAGGCTCCCCAGCTCCGTTTTCGGCTGACATGGCCTCCTGCAACCGTCTGCCAGTGAAAATGGAGCTCGGGAGGGCCACGTGCGTTTTTGCTGGCAGAAGCACCATGGGTCAATCCTTCGCTGTTTGCAGGGCAGCCTCATGGGCTGGATCTAAACATCCTGCAGGCCGGATCTGGCCCACAGGCCTTGAGTTTGTCACCCCTGGTGTAGTGATTCTCACGGGAAGCCCGATGTCATGTTATTGAACTTTTGGGGCTTGTCGGGAAGAGAAACCCTTTGGGGATCGGGAGGGTGTTAACTTACATCGTAGCCTCTGAGAACAGCTAGATGGAAAGCCAGCAGCTGTAAAGGAATCACACTCAGGATGCCCTGCAGACAGTCCACCGAATGGGGAACTTTGATGGTCCGCTTGTTATTTTTGATGGTCTCGATATCTTCCTTATCACAAATCACGACAGGCCGCCCCTATTTTAAAAAAAAAAATTTTTTAAAAAAGAGAGAAGTTTGCATCAACTCGATCTAGCCTCAAAGATACACATGGGAGCCATCCGTGAGGGTTGGATTATTTTAAAAAAATCAAAATATATGGTTGGGCCTGCCATCTTGCCTTTTTTTTTGATGCACACTTCTCTCTCACACACACCCTCGCACGCCCACGTTTTGCTTACGAGAACAAAATTAAGATTGTGGTAGAAGAAAGCGTTCCTTCGATCATTCTTTATTTGGGGTCTATCTCCATTTTTCTCAGGGGCTCAGGATCATCTATACAGGTTTGTTTAATTATGCTCCAATTGGGAACAGAAATTCCATGCTAAAGTAACTTTGTTATTAAGCTGAAAAGCTACATGACTGCGCCACTTAGCAACGGCAGTTCCAACAATCTCAGTTGCCATCATTAAGCGAGGACCTCACCTGACTGCGACTTACGATTTCCTGCTGGCTTCCCCATTGACTTTGCTTGTGGGAAGCCAGCAGGGAAGGACATAATCACAAGCTGGACACTGAGCCTCAGCATCACCATCATGTGACTGCAGGGACACTGCCACCGATGTAAGTACAAAGTCTGGTCATAACTACCACTTGTTCAATGCCACTCTAAGTTCGGTCACCAAAGAGCAGTCACTGAACGAGTGGTCATTAAACAAGGACCACCTGCATTACATTTCCTCCCCAAATTTTATCCTCACCTTTGGAAATGTTGGGAAATGATTACAGACAAATCCAAAGCTACTGTCAGTCCTGCCCTAACTTGGTCCCTTAAGCAAGAAAGACCCTCAACTCCATTTGTAGCAAAAAGGTTTACTTTACTAAAAGGCCCAGTGATTTACAGTATAGCAAAGCTAGAACTGAAGTTCGCGTGCCAAATTTCTCTGGTTAACTTTCCCCGTCCAATTCCTCCCTTTTATTGGTCCCTTATTGTCCAATTAAACTTGAATGGTTTGGGAAAGTGTCTCTTCAATGGCAGGCTGGTTGATAAGCCGTTAGCCATTCCATTCCATTTCCAGTGGCTTGACCTTGACTCTGGAAGGGACGATGAGCAGTCAGCCTCCCCCTTCCCATCCAGCTTCCCCCTGCCCAATAGTTCATGGCAGCATAAGATGGCACTTCTGACATCCATCAATAAGTCCCAGAGGTGCTTTTATTTTTTCAAGAGGCAACTGGACTTTCTTGTTTTTCTTTGAAGACGTTTCGCTTCTCATCCAAGGAGCTTCTTCAGCTCTCACTTCAGCTCCTTCCATTCCCCATCATCCAGTCAGAGCTGAAGAAGCTTCTTGGATGAGAAGCGAAACGTCTTCAAAGAAAAACAAGAAAGTCCAGTTGCCTCTTGAAAAAAGCACCTTTGGGACAACCAGGACCTGGATGGCTGAGAATCTCCAGAGACCTCCACCCAGAAGCTCCCATGTGGGTCTCCTCCAGCTGAAACGAGGCCCTTCATCTTAATGAGGGGACTATCTCCTCTGTTTTACTAGTCTGCTATTTTTTTCATCAGAAAGCAGATGCACTTCCCAGCTGGAACGGACTAAAATAAAGTCAGCAGGACTCATTATTCCCCCAGGGAGGAGGGGAGACACCCAAGAGCCCCCCAGGCCCCTCTGCTCACCTGGCGCGCCATGACCTGCTGCAGCGCATTCTGGCACTTGGCGTAGGTGTTGTCCCTCATGATGATCATAATGACGGGCATCAGCTTGTCCACCAGGGCCAGGGGTCCATGCTTCAGCTCACCGGCCAAGATGCCCTCCGAGTGCATGTAGGTGATCTCTTTGATTTTCTAAGCAGGAGGAAGCCCTGCGTTAATCTCAGCTGCCTCGGTTGAGAAGCAAAGTTCTCCTCTGCTCTCGCTCTTTCGAGAGATCTACCATTTGTCAAGGGAAAGTCACGTCTGAAGCTCCTACGTGAGTTCCTTGGGAAAAAAAGAACAACTCCTTCCCTCGGCTTCCTTCCTTCCTTCCTTCTGAGGAAAGGGGAAACGGTGACGGAAGAAGATTGTGGATACTTTTAAGGCAGGGGTCTCCAACCTTGGCAACTTTTAAGACTTGTGGACTTCAACTCCCAGCAAAGCTGGCTGAGGAACTCTGGGAGTTGAAGTCCGCAAGTCTTAAAGTTGCCAAGTTTGGAGACCCCAGCTTTAAGAGGAGGCTCCCACATAGGATTGGCCAGAACAAACCCTTTGCTTTATTGTCATGGGAAGGAGGGGAAGGGAGGGGAGGGGAGGGGAGGAGAGGGGAGGAGGGGGAAGGGGAGAAGGAGAAGGAGAAGGAGAAGAAGGAGAAGGAGAAGGAGAAGAAGGAGAAGGAGAAGGAGGAGGAGGAGAAGGAGAAGGAGGAGAAGGAGGAATGGAATGGGCAGAACAGGACAGAAAAAAATAGAATGCTGGTTGGGGAATTCTGGGAGTTGAAGTCCACCCTTCTTAAAGTCTCCCAAAGGTTGAGAAACTCTGGTTTAGATCTTTCGCTTTGATTTAAAGTCTGTCCACATTCTGGTCTTTGGTCTCACTACACGATTATGAATGACAACGTCTGACGGGGTCACTCGCACCCCCACTTTATCTGCCCCCAAGGGACTAGGAACATTTCTCTCCCCAACTGGCGCAGCTGCGGGTTCGAGAGGATGCTCACCAGGGCGCCTTCCAGGCAGGTCGCGTAGTGATATCCCCGCCCCATAATGAGCACCGACTTCTGGTGGTAGAGCTCGGTGGCCAATTTCTGGATCTCATCGTCCATGCTCAGCACTTCTTTTATCAAGTCTATCGAAAGCAACAAGAGGAGACAATGCTTCCAAAGTAAACAACTCACCCCGGCCCCGGAGTCCTCCCAGACTCTTTGGAAAAAGAGTCTGAGAGGGACCCCGTCTTTATAAAGGACGGCACGTACGTCAATGGGCACCTTACGGGCAGGAATCTGCAGCCGTGGGATTGGAACTTTGGTTTTTAAAATGACGGCTGGGGTTTGCTTCCTTCAATCTGCAATCCAAATGAGGGTGCAGGTGGCCTTTCTTGGGGGGACCCCTGCCCAAAGAGGGGAGACTCAGCAGAGAATGGTCATCCCCGAGACGGAATATGCCAAATTCGCCATGGCCAACTCGCTGCGGGACAATTCAACAACTCAATTATTTAAAATTATTAAAAAATCATTTGAATGTTTGTCCTTCACATTTCATCTCGTCCCTCCTTGGGCATCCTTTCTTTAATGATTCTATTCCACTATTTCTCCGATTATTAGTGTGGCTCTTGTCCCGTGGCGAGTTGGCCGCGGAGAATTGTCCTACACCTTCCCCGAGACCCTCGCGAGGGGAATGACAATGCCAGCACGCCTGGATCCAGCACTCTTGTAGACAACCAGGCCCCAAGCCACATAATCCTTCACACCTTGAGTTGCGTCTGGAAATAAACTAGCAATCAAGGAAGCTTCTGCAAGATTGGGGGTCAAAGGAGAGAATCGGGAAAATTCTCATTACCACGCAGTCAAGAACAATTTATACCAGATGCAACTTCTGGCTAGACTTCAAGGGCAGCCCCGCACAACAATCCAAGTGTGAGACAAAAAGGCCGGGGTGATTGTTGCCAGGCCCCCTGCCCCAGGGAAGGCCACCCCTCGTGCGCCAGCCAATGTGGGGTAAATCCGCTTCCATCTGCTCTTCCCAGGAGGCTCCTGGAGTGGCCGGCTCTTTCTGGGACAGCATAATCCCAACTAGGATTAAAGTGGCCATCAACCATCTCACTCGGTCATTAGCAAAGAAAAGCTCCTGGCCATTTGTTTTGCCGAGATAATAGTTTACTGACGCTTAAATGGTTACTGGAGTAGCGCAAGCCGAATCTGAGGTTTTCCCGTGCAAACAACACAAAGGAAAGTCCTCTCTCCTCTCACCCATCCGCCCTCCCTGGTTACCTGCCAATGTCCAGCCAGGGGCTTGCATATTGTTCAGATGCTCAGTTCCCAGCTCTGCATCCTGTTATTTGATCTGGGCTGGCTGTAGCTTCTCACGCGGCTCAGGTGAGCTTCCATTCCATTCCTCCCTTTCTTCGTACTCCAATCCTTCCCTCTCTCCCTCCGTTCCCTCCACCCTCAGTTGTAATGCAAGCTCATAAAGTTTGGATAGGTGATTCGCATTCGCTCCTACCAACCACTGGGATGGCTTCCCCTCAGAAGTTGTGGCTGCTCCATCACTGGAGGCTTTCAAAAAAGAGACGGGATGACGATTTGTCTTAAATGGTACAGGATCTCCTGCTTGAGCAGGGAGGACCACCGAGGTCCCTTCCAACTCTATTATTTTGTTTTTCTATGTTCTACCAGTTCACTTCCCTTCACACACACCTCCCTGTGCTGAGGACACACCAGTCGGTTTGCCTGCCCAAAAAAATACTGCCACAAAAGTCCCACACGCATTTACCATGTTTCCCTGAAAATAAGACCCTGTCTTATATTTTTTGAACCCCGAAATAAGTGCTTGGCCTTATTTTCAGGGAGGTCTTATTATTTTGGGGTGCATGGAGCAAGATGGGCTCCTCTTTATTTATTTATTTATTTTATTAGTCACATTTCTATGCCGCCCACTCTCCGAAGACTCTGGGCGGCTTACACCAAAGACAGTATACTAAATAGCATATTGCCCCCTAACAATCTGGGTCCTCATTTTACCCACCTCGGAAGGATGGAAGGCTGAGTCAACCTTGAGCCGGTCTTATCTGATTTCCAGCTCTGCGTTTAAATATTTTCGGGGAGGGCTTATTTTCGGGGGGGAGGCTTATTTTATGGCATGCGCTCAAAAGCCCGATTGGGCTTATTATCAGGGGATGTCTTATTTTCGGGAAAACAGCATATTCATTTAAATGTATGCGGCATCTCGCATGACTGACTCTGGGTGGCTTACAAGCGGGAAGCAAGACTCACGAGGAATAAAATTAAAAATATTCAAAATCGACATAATTGGTCGTGTGCACCTTACCTGGCAACAACTTGAGGCCTCGCATGATCTCTTTCCGCCGTTCTTGCATGGAAATTCTGTCGTCGCACATCATGAGCGCAAACATTACTAGGGAGACAAACTGGCTTGTGTAGGCCTAGAGAAGAGGGGAGAATAAGGGCCCCCCGTTAAGCAGAAGCCACAAATCCTTTAAAGCCACTTCAGGAAATGAGCCTGAAATCGGAATGAGAAATGCCTGAAAGAGCGGCCATCATAGAATAGAATAGAATAGAATAGAATAGAATAGAATAGAATAGAATAGAATAGAATAGAATAGAATAGAATAGAAATAGAAATAGAAATAGAAATATAGGAATAGAATAGAATAGAATAGAATAGAATAGAATAGAATAGAATAGAATAGAATAGAATAGAAATAGAAATATAGGAATAGAATAGAATAGAATAGAATAGAATAGAATAGAATAGAATAGAATAGAATAGAATAGAAATAGAAATAGAAATAGAAATAGAAATATAGGAATAGAATAGAATAGAATAGAATAGAATAGAATAGAATAGAATAGAATAGAAATATTAATTAGAATAGAATAGAATAGAAATAGAAATAGAAATAGAAGAGAAATAGAAGAGAAATAGAAGAGAAATAGAATAGGAATAGGAATAGGAATAGGAATAGGAATAGGAATAGAATAGGTTATTTATTTATTTATTTATTTATTTTATTAAATTTCTATATCACCCTTCTCCCGAAGGACTCAGGGCAGTGAACAGCCAGAAGATAAAACACAGAAATACAAAATTTAAAATGAATTAAAACGAATTAAATAATTTAGGCTGAATTTTAAAATACCCCATAATTAAACAATTAAAATTTATGTTTAAAATTTAAGTTTAAAAAGGAGAAGATTTAGGCCAGGCCAGTTAGAAGGGACCTTGGAGGTCTTCTAGTCCAACCCCCAAAATGCCAAGGGTGGGACTAAAATTCAGAATCTCCTGGGGATTGGCCCAAAGTGACCCAGCCAGCCTAAGATGGAACTCACCACCTCCTGATTTAATACTGTATAAGTTATTTTATTTGGTTTATGTATGTTATGTATGTATGTATGTATGTATGTATGTATGTATGTATGTATGTATGCATGTTATGTATGTTATGTATAACATAATGTATGTTATTATTGCTAAGACTTATCCCCTCACATTCATATGGAGAAAAGGCCCCTTTCGACAAGCAAAGTCCACGGGGAAGCCAAATTCGCTCAACAACCGTGCCACTCGCTTAATGGCCACAGGGATTCGCTTAACAGGGAAGATCGTAAAATGGAGCAAAATTCACTTAACGACTGTCGTCAACTGAGGTTGTAAGTCGAGGACCGCCTGCACTGACAGCGACAGCTGTTCGAAGAATCGTTTGGGTTAACTTCCCCGTTTCTTATCCTGGGCGGTGATTCCATCCTCCAGAAATGCGAGCCCAATTGGGGAAATAATTCAGCAATTCAAATGCGCAACATCTGGCCATCTTGGGACCCGGCCAAGAGGATTTGGACGCCTGACAGCCCGAAGCCACCAAGCTCCAAAATGCTCCAAAATGCCATCAAGACAGTAACCTTCCCCAGAGGACGCCAAGAGAGAAGGCCGGACGTGGGACGACGGCCCCTTGGAGATGCAACTCCTGGGAGACCCCTTGCTCCAAGCTGATCAGGATGGAGTTGGCTTTGCTCAACTCCTGGGAGATCAGGCAGGGCACAAAATGAGGAAAGGAATGGAGCCCTGGCTACGTTCTTCTCCCGATAATGAGAGGTCAGGAAAATGTTCAGCCCTCCAAGGGCTGCTCTTTTGCTTGGTTCGATTGCTTTAGTCTGCTTGAGTTCTGGACGTCCTCCATCCTCTGCTGAACCCCCTTCTCTCCTGGGCTCAGGGGTGGGGCAGCGCTGCCAGGGGAGCCCTTCTGAAGGGGGATCCCCAGGGGAGTGGAGAAGCGAAGGGGCAGAGCAGCTGACCCCCAACCTTCCCCCTTTATTTCAGGTCCCCAGAGATCCATCTGTCTCTACCAAATTCCAGTCCTCTTTTTGAGCCGAGACGCACAAATGTACAGTAACCCAGAATAGATTTAGCCTAATTAAAAACAAAAACCCTCAATTTAGAAAACAACAGCAGCTCAAAAAGCTTTGCCAAATGGCCCGTTGCAATCTTCCCTCCTCCTTTCCAAGCCCACTTTTGTGCATCCTCTGCTTTTCAGACAGGCCCTCCCCACTACCACCCGAGGAGGGGGGGTACAATCGTCCGTGGGCCTCAGGTTCCTCCCACTAACCCAACACACTCTGATTTTGTCTTCTTCCCCTTCCCCTTTTTTGCAGAAGGGAGACGAGCATCACTTGAAACAAAGGTCTTCAAACTTGGCAGCTTTAAGACTTGTGGACTTCAACTCCCAGAATTTATTTATTTATTTATTAGTCATATTTCTATGCCGCCTACTCTCCAAGGACTCTGGGCGGCTTAGTTAGTTTAGTTAGTTAGTTAGTTTATTATATTTATATACCGCCCTTCTCCCGAAGGACTCAGGGCGGTGAACAGCCATGGTAAAAAACAATATACAACAAAAATTAAAAGCTTATTAAAATAATTCAATCATTCGGCCAAATTTAAAACATCCAACTAAAGAGTCTGCTGGAGTCTTGGAGACAAGGAAAGGGAGGAAGCAAAGCTGGCTGAGGAATTTTAAGAGTTGAAATCCACAAGTCTTAAAATTGCTAAGGTTGGAGACCCCTGCCCTATACCATTCCGGACAAACGGCTGTCCAATCTCATTTTAAAAACCTCCAGTGATGGAGCAACCACAACTTCCCGAGGCAAGCAGTTCCACTGGTTAATAATTGTTCTCGCTTTCAGGAAGTTTCTCTTTAGATCTAGGTTTGCTTCTCTCCTTGAGAACGGAACGGGGCTCGAGTTCGGAGGAGGAGAGAAAGACAGCTTCGCATTTTGGTTCAGCCAGAAACTAACTTTATGAGTTACGTGTTCTTACCTGTCCTGCCTTTTTTGACTATACATGAAACGGAGGCTTTTTCAGAATGCAGGTAGAAAATAATTCATGCCTGGGACCCCGTTCCTGTCCTTAAGAAAAGCAGAAGGGCCCAGGTGCAGTCAGCATGGGCACTCGAGAGTAAGACCTGTTAAAATGGCACACCTTCACGCCAACCTGCGCATCGGAGCTCTCATTTTATGCACAGGATCCTCACCTTTGTGCTGGCCACCCCGATCTCTGGCCCTGCGTTGATATGCACCCCGCAGTCCGTCTCCCGGGAAATGGAGCTCCCGACGGTATTGGTGATGCCCACAGTGAGGGCTCCCCTCTCCTTGCAGTACCGAAGGGCCATCAAGGTGTCGGCCGTTTCCCCTGCCGAGAGAGATGGACCTAGTCAATCAAGAAAGCGCCCCCACTGAGTGCTGAAGATCTGTCAGGGCAGGGGACATACCTTCACTACAGTGGTGAAATGTGTCAACTTGCAAAGCTTTCAAGTGGCCATGAGCAGGGAGGGAGAACTGATAGAGCTGATTGATTTCCCTAACTGAAGCTGCATTCCATACATTCTTCCTGACCGCAGTCAGAAGGAGGGTGTTGGATTTCACAGCCAGCCAAAGTGGTTAATTGGAGAATGTGATTTATGACACGGGCAGGGAGGAGGGGAGAGACAGGGTCATAGGGGAACGTAAATCTATGTGGGATTAGTTCTAACTGCACCCGAATATTGCCGAAATGGTGCTCCTAATAAATGATTGTATTTCTTTTGAAGTTTGGCTCATGGCTCATGAATTAATTAGGGCATCTTTCGGAAACTTCACAAAATGTAAAATTTGTTACTACCGGTTCTGTGGGCGTGGCTAGAGGGGGGGTAATATGACTGAGTGGGCGTGGCCAACTTTTTTTTTTTTTTTTTTTTTACTTTTAAAACCATTTTTTCTACAACCTCTTCGGCTGTACTAGCACCATCTTTAGAAAATAAAACAGTCTACAAGATAGGGAGTGTTGCTAAAATTTTGGGTAAACTTTGCATTCTTTTGCCAGCTGATCACAGAGACCTCCCTTGGCCGTCCCACCTGACTGGCTGATGAAGAAGCAGACATCATCTCGGAAAACGGGAGTATTTCTGTCCAAGAAGTCACTGGCCAGTTCCACCATGACAGGCAGTTCGGTCAGTTCTTCCAGCACTTGGCGAGTCTGGGTGAGTGACGCAGGGAGGAGAACAGAAGAAGGGGAAGGAAGAAACAGAACATCAAATGAAAGTAGCAATAGCACTTAGCAACAGCACTAAGAGCAAAGCTGGCTGGGGAATTCTGGGAGTTGAAGTCCACTCATCTTCAAGTTGCCAAGGTTGAGAAACACTGAGCTACATGATGATGGGTGTCATTTTTATTTCTCTCTCTCTCTCTCTCTCTCTCTCTCTCACACACACACACACACACACACACACACACACACACCGTGCACCATCGAGAAAAAGCTGCACTCCCAACAGCGGAACTGACATTTTCCTGGCGCAGAGCATTGCTAATCGTTCAAAAACTTTGAAATGCTACTGGAGTTCAGGTACTCACAGCGACAGCTGCATGGTAGCTTGTCCCACAAGCGATGAGGATCAGACGCCGGCATCTCTGGATCTCCTTGATATGGTCCTTCAAGCCCCCGAGGTTCACTGCGGAAAAACACAAGGCGAAGGCTTGAAGGAAACGGCCCAGAGAAAAGCAGAACGCCTTCGGTGTCAAAGGATCTCGCAAGGATTTCTGTAGCAATTCTTAAAAAAGGGGGGGCTCGGTGGCACTCAACCCCTCACCCCAAAGAGAGTATTGGTCGGTAACAAAATACGCTCCATGGCCCGTCAAAGCAATCTCCAGGGATAAACAGGGAGCAAAGTAGTCAGAGGCAGTGGTGAAATCCAATTTTTTTTACTACCGGTTCTGTGGGCGTGGCTTGGTGGGCGTGGCAGGGGAAGGATACTGCAAAATCCACATTCCCTCCCCACTCCAGGGGGAAGGATATTGCAAAATCTCCATTCCCACCCCACTCTGGGGCCAGCCAGAGGTGGTATTTGCAGGTTCTCCGAACTCCTTAAAATTTCCGCTACAGGTTCTCCAGAACCTGCTGGATTTCACCCCTGGCCAGAGGTACTGATCATGGGACAAGTTGGCCCATAGCAAGCTTATTAGTCAAGATTCACCATAGTGGAAGAAAAGAATTTGCTCACAAGTAGTCTACAGAGTTTCTCTGTGAATGAAATCTATCCCACTTAAACCTCATTTGGAAAGACAAAGAGTTTTCTGTAAAAAAAAAAAAATCTGATTTTCTGAGCAGAAGACTTTTACCTGTGTAGTCATCGAAGTTGACTCTTCCTCTCATGGTGTTCACGACCGATTCTGGCTGCTCAAATATTTCCTTTTGCATGAATGAACTGAAGTTACCTTGAAAGAACAAGAGGAAGTTCACTGAATTAGAGGCAGACTTGCCGTTCTCGTTTTGGAAAAGAAAGCCACCTTCAGCCCAATTCTACATCCATATCACAATAGAAAAACCCATTTCGCTGTTCTGAAAGTGCAAAATTACCACGTTCATCAAATAAACGCGTAACAGGCTCTGGGCTTAGATCTTTTAACGCAAATGCACACGTTGTTTTCTTTTTAAAATTCATGTCTGGGTTTATAGTTCAGGTAATATTTTAAAATGGAATTAAGGCTATTTACTATCACTTGAAACGTGGTTTAAGTTTTGGAATAAATCTGAAACTTGGCTACGTGGATTGGTAAATGAAAGAGCTGCGGTTTCCAATACATCTGCGCAGCAAAATATTTTTGATACTTTTGACCGGTATTACCTGAACTCTAAATGAGAAATGTGTCCGTCCTCTACTGGCTTGGTCTTCTTGGAGAGGAGGTCCCATGACTAGACCATGAAGGAGAGCTCATGGAAGGATCTGAATTCCAACTGAACAGTTACGAAAAACTGACCTTGGTTAAGTCTACATACCAGGGCCAAATGGCTCCTATCGGAGAGCACCTGGAGGAACCTTCTAAGGATCTTCTAGCCAATAGACCACAGAAGAATAAGAGGGTAGATTTACACATGAAGGAACTGTGAACACCTCAGAAGCAGCCTGGCAGGCAAAACATTTGAAAAGTAGTCCTAACCCTCAATCCGTACCCTTCATGATCTGTTGCAGCTCCATCTGGAGGGTCTGAATTGCCCGGCCAGGGTGATCTCCAGCATTTCTCTTGATGCGATGTATGGAGAGGCGGCCTTCGACCACGGCTGCCACGTCATCATCTTCCAGAAAAATCACCCTGTTGGTGTGCTCAATCACAGCGCTGCGAGAGAATGGTGGAGGATGGCTTAACATCTCTTGAAGGAACCCATAAACCAATTTAGAATGGGACACCCATGTGAGGGAAAAAAATGATGCTAAAACCAAGTGAGATCTAGAGAATTTATACCATTATTTGTACTCCTTATATCAACCAGGCCTACCAAAGTCAATTGAGGCATGGTGGCGCAGTGGTTAGAGTGCAGGACTGCAGGCTACTTCTGCTGACTGCCGGCTGCCTGCAATTTGGCAGTTCGAATCTCACCAGGCTCAAGGTTGACTCAGCCTTCCGAGGTGGGTAAAAGGAGAACCCAGATTGTTGGGGGCAAGAGGCTGACTCTGTAAACCGCTTAGAGAGGGCTGGAAAGCACTGTGAAGCGATATATAGGTCTAAGGGCTGTTGCTATTCAAATATTTAACTTAAAATTCCCATGAATGAAAAGTAGGGTGAGTTATGAAGGGGAACCATTAATGATAAGACGTCAATGTTCACAAAATCTTTGTTATTTTACTGAAAGGGACTTTCCAGCTTTACAACAGCTTCATTTTCAACTTCTTCTGCCTCCTCTCTCCTCTAAGGAATTCAGTGCAGTGTTTCCTGAAGCAAAGTCAATGGGGAAGCCAGATTCACTTAAGGAACGGCGTTAGCAACTTAACAACTGCAGTGATTCACTTAACAATTGTGGCAAGAAAGGCCTTAAAAGGGGGCAAAATTCACTTAACAACTTTCTAGTTTAGGAACAGAAATTTTGGGCTTGGTTATAGTCATAGATAAAGAGTTATCTGCTGCCAACTTGCAAAGCATCCCTGGCCTGCTCTCGAGTTGCCATAGGCAAGGGGGATAGGAAACCGACGAAGCAATATGGCAGCCACAGACAGGAGCACATTCCAGACCTATCTTTCTCAAGGCTGTCCCCCAGGGTTACCCACAGTGGCCAGAGGGGAGTGGTCTCTACAACCCCCGAAATTGCTACGTTGGCGAATGTGATTGATGACACACCTTGCGGGGGAACAGGATCATAATTAGGGCGGTAAATTACGTGGGGTCAGAGTTGCCTTGGTTTGGGTACGTGCAGACATGGAGCTCCTAATGAATAATTGGATTTCTTTTGAAGATTGGCTCGAGGCTCATGATTTAATTAGGGCATCCTTCGGAACCCTGACGCCTGCATTTGAAAAGACTAAAAGATCTCTTTAATGGTGGACGACATAGCCTCCCTCTGCGAAGTGAGGATTCAACCCAGCCTGCAACGCTCTAGGCCACCGGTCCCCTCCATCGGGAAACCTCTCCGGCGCTCTCCGCACATGCCACCCACCTGGCATCAGAGGCGAAGTAGTACTCCACAGCTTTCTCTTCCACAGGAAAGAGGCAGGTAGTGCTGTCCATGCGGGAGAGGCTGCAAGTGCCCTTCTTGTCTTTGCCTGCAACCCCAGAGAGAGCGTCATCAGACATTGGTGGGGGGGGGAAGCCCCAAAACGCACCGGGCATGGACACCCGTGGCCTCAATGCTCTTCTCACCCAACAGGAAGCTTCCTCTCCTCAGCCTTCCAAGTCAGGAAGCCTCCTGCTTCGGTTAGGAAGGGACCCAGGGGTGAATGAACTGGAGTGAGGGGGCATCAAAAAAAGTCAACGCAGAGGCTGCCATGGCACCGTTGAAGCCCACCGTGGGTTCGTGGCTTTGATCACCCAGGGACAGAAACCGTTCTGGCTTTTCCAAAACCTTCCCTGCTCCCCCATGGGGATAATCCTATCGAAATGATTGCTCCGTTGATTGCGACACCACGGTCTAAGGGTCTTAATCAAAGTTGAATCCAAAGAGCTTTTTACAGGGGGCTTAAAAAAAAAATAAAAAGCAAAGGCCCAGTTATCCTTGTCAGCAAAAAAACAACAGCAGATCCTCCGGGGATCCCAAACTGGAATTTCATTCAGGGAGCGTCAGAAAGGACCAAGTCTGATGGGGATCACCCACGAAATCACCCGATAACTAGAGAGGGTCTACAGAGATTCTCCATCCTCCAAGTCCTGGTTGTCCCAAAAGTGCTTTTTCCAAAAAGGCGAATGGACTTTCTTGGCTTTTTGCTCTGAATTTCCGAACTGAAGAAGCTCCTTGGATGAGAAGCGAAACGTTTTCAAAGAAAAAAAACCATCAGAGTCCAGTTGCCTTTTGGGAAAAAGTACCTTTGGAATCGCTAGAGAAGATGGACAGAATGGGCCGTTTGTGCTAAGAGGGACAGAAATAAAACATCCACAGAGCCATACAGAGAGGATATCAAAAGTCAGGCCTCTAGGCCAATCCCAATAGGCATTATTATTATTATTATTATTATTATTATTATTATTATTATTATTATTATTATTATTATTATTTTTCAGAATGAATGTTGCTGTACTTGGGGGTGTTAACAGGCTCTGCAACAAACAAGCAAGAAAGTACTTGGAAAACTATGACAAGCACACTCAGACATATAATTTGTGTAATACCCCGTCTGGAGGGCTTGTCGTTTGGGGTACCCTGAATGACAGATGAATAGCCTGCTCTCAGATTGCCTGACATTCTTGGGGAAGGGACAGCAGGGGAGGAGAGGGAGAAGATAGGTTGCCTGCTCTTCTCCAGGCAGGACTTAAGGGAGAAACACTTGGATTATCCTACCTGACATTGATACAGCCTCCCAAAACCAGACAAAATATCTAAATATTTGAGGAACCCAATGAATTTTTTAAAAATTTAAAAAAAATTTAAATTGATTTTTTAAAAATGGAAGCTGCTGTTGTTCCTTAAAGACAGGATACCTTTTGTCCAAATTTGCCTCCAAATTGAATTTCCACCAAAACCGCTGAAACCTTTCCGTTTTGATCATGATTAGCCAGCCAAGGGTTACAGAGAATGTGAAGTGCATTCATACAATCTGGAGGACAGTATAAAATCCAGCTTCCATGCCGATACCTGCTTCTTTTTAAACAACCAAGTCAGCGCCAGGGGAAAAGTCCAGCATCCTCACATTTGGGTATCAGAAACAAACATCAGGAGACAGGAAGGAAATGAGATCGGGGCAAAGGAGGACCAGAAATGAATTTGGGAAGAAGTGGGCGGGAAAAAAAACCCATCACAAGAATGCCATGCAAATTTTCCCCCACACACGAAACCTCTTTAATAGGAGGTTCCTCCTGCTTTCCACAAACACACAAGGTGAAAACGGGGCACCCCTCTTCCTTGGCCCTCGGAAGTGACACTAAGAGAGAGGATTACATGCCTGCTCCCATTCCGGAAACAAAAGCCGAAGAGGCGGAAACCGGGGGGGTGCAGAGCAGGGCCAGTTCCCCCCCACTCTCAGGTGGAAAGCAGTAAACCACGAATTAAAAAGGTTGCACGTGTTTTGATTTATTCTCGGAGATGCAAGAGGGCTGGTAAGTTAAAAGTTTGGTCTCCACAGCACCTTCGTCCGGTTTTTTGGGTAGGCCATCAAATGAATGATCTACAGACTGTGTGGCTGCAAGGGCAATACGAAAAGCAACTTCAGAAACACATCGACAGTCGTCCAGCTACTCAAGGCACAAATGACCAGGCTCTCAAGTTATCCTACATTATTTAAATAAAGAAAGAAGGTCCCGACGTTGGGAAAGGTGGACGCACTCGGCTACAGGGGCTCTGGGGGCAGAGGAATAGAACATTGTGGAGAAAATTTGTCCACGTGACTGTTAAGAGCCAAAAATGACTCGATGGCACAGAACGAATCGATAAACCATGGGCTGAATGGATGCTCCAGGAGGAAATGGATTCTTCTTAGTTTTAAGCCTGGAAGTAGAGCAGAAGTCTCCAACCTTGGCAACTTTAAGCCTGGCGGACTTCAACTCCCAGAATTCCTCAGCCAGCAAAGCTATTAGGATAGGCAGGATGGATCATAGAGTCCTAGGGCTGGAAGGAACCTCGGAGGTCTTTTAGTCCAGGGGTCTCCAACCTTGGCAACTTTAAGCCTGGTGGACTTCAACTCCCAGAATTCCCCAGCCAGCAAAACCAGCAAAGTAGGGCAGGGGTCTCCAACCTTGGCAACTTTAAGCCCGACGGACTTCAACTCCCAGAATTGGCCGCCGGGCTTAAAGTTGCCAAGGTTGGAGACCCCTGAAGTACAGGATGAATTCTTGCATTTTGATGATCTCCAAAAAGAGATGATGAAACATCAGTCGGCCTTTTGCAATGAAAATCCTCCTGCCAAAAATGCTGACATTTTTGGATATGACCAATGCACACCAGTGTACCCACTTGAAGTGTGCCCAGCAAAAGGATCTCTTGTTTTTCCAGGTTTAGTACCAGGAAAAAATTAAAGTTCACTTCCAGCTGTAGCTAAGAAGGAAGGAAGGACATCAGGAACTCTACCGCTCAAGTTTCTTTCAGGATGAGCTCTCAAGCAGACTCTCGGGGAAGGTTTTCGGACCATCATTGCTTCCCGAGTTTAAGAAGGGAAATCAATTTTACCCTGACTTCTACCACCCCTAATGTCCCACTGTGCTAGTTGCAAAGTTATTTCACGCAGGGTTCAGATGGGCTGCTACAGAGGCATAACAAGAAAAAAAAGCAGAGCATTAGCTTGGGGTGATTTACCTGTCCGGTACAAGATCGGAATATGATCAGTGGAAAGCTTGTGCTCGCTCCGAACGCCGATGAGCAGAGGGCTTCCCCTTCTGGAATAGAATAAAATACATTTCATCAAGAATAAAAAGATACAAAACACTTAGTGATAGTCAAGGTTACTAATAAGCAATCAAATCCTACTAGGAAACAAATAAAAACAATGTAATTGAAAGATATAAGGAACATGGTTATAGTAATAAGTGGGAAGAGATAGATACTAGTAAAGAAGAGAAGATTAATAGTAATGCAGACTTAGTGAATAGTTTGACAGTGTTGAGGGAATTATTTGTTTAGCAGAGAAATGGCGTTCGGGGAAAAACTGTCCTTGTGTCTAGTTGTTCTGGTGTGCAGTGCTCTATAGTGTCGTTTTGAGGGTAGGAGTTGAAACAGTTGATGTCCAGGATGTGAGAGGTCTGTAAATATTTTCCCAGCCCTTTTTTTGACTCGTGCAGTATACAGGTCCTCAATGGAAGGCAGGTTGGTAGCCATTGTTTTTTCTGCACTTCTACTGATCCTCTGAAGTCCGTATCTGTCTTGTTGGGTTGCAGAACCAAACCAGACAGTTATAGAGGTGCAGACGACGGACTCAATAATTCCTCTGTAGAACTGGATCAGCAGCTCCTTGGGCACTTTGAGCTTTCTGAGTTGGCGCAGAAAGAACATTCTTTGTTGAGCTTTTTTGATGATGTTTTTAATGTTAGCTGTCCATTTTAAGTCTTGAGATATGATAGAACCTAGAGACCTGAAGGACTCTACTGTTGATACCGTGTTGTCTAGTCTAGTAAAGCAAAACAAGAGGTTGAGATAAGCAGCCAAGACTCTTCCTGGGCGGCAGCAGCCATTGAGGAGACTTACTCGTAGTTTACTCCCGAGCAACTACTCAGCCCTGGTTATAGTGTTGCATGTTCAGATGCACCACTTGCAATGGCTGAATCTTATCAACTCTGTGCCGACCGTCAAGATGGGAGAAAGGAATGGCAGACTGACTGGCACTCACCTTGTGCCAACTGCCTGGCCAGGATAATGGACACTTTTGAACACCAGAGCGAAGGCTCCTTCCTGTGTAGGGACAGGAAAGAAAAGCAGACCTTGAAGGTTCTTCTGGGCACACACTCATCCACACAGACCTCCCCCACCCCCCTCCAGCCACATTCCGTTGCACTGAACGTGTAAGAGGCACGATCAGACCCCTTTCTGGTTTTAAAAAAAAGTCATTGTAAGAAAAAAAACTAAATGGTTAGTAGAAACTTAGACTTGGCTTCTTTCTAAACAAACACAGATATGCACAGAGGTATGTTACACTCTTTTTAAAAAAACATAATGTGTAGTGCAGGGGTGAAATGCTAACAGTTCGGGCTGATTCATCCAAACCGGTAGTAAAAAAAATGCTTAAAAAGTTTTTTTAAAAAAAACCTTTCGAAGATCAGCTGTGCTGCACAACCCTCAGAACTTTTTTTACTTTCTATAGCAGGGGTCCTCAAACTTGGCAGCTTTAAGACTTGTGGGCTTCAAACCCAGAATTCTCAGCCAGCATATGCTGGCCGGAGAATTCTGGGAGTTGAAGTCCACAAGTCTTAAAGCTGCCAAGTTTGAGGACTTCTGTTCTAAAGCATTTTTAAGCATTTTTTAAAAATGCTTAAAAGGTTTAAAAAAAAAAAATCTGAAGATCAGCTGTGCGACTCGCAATCGTTGGAACCTTTTTTTTTTTTTTTAACTTTTTAAAGTATTTTTTTAACTATCGGTTCCGGAGAAATACCGGGAGCCACAAAACCTGGGTGGGCGTGGCCAACTCGATGTCACTCACTTCCACTAGTCACATGATCCACCCCCTAGCCACGCCTACCCTTCCAGTCATTAGGGCAAAGAACCAGTTGTTAAAAAACACCGGGAACCACAAAATTCTCTTGACCTATCTCTCTCTCCCCTCCATCCCTCTCTCTCTGTATCTCTCTATGTCTCTCTCTCTCCCCCTCTCTCTGTATATCTCTGTCTCTGCCCTGGCCGCTTCTCCATCCTCCGCCGTCGCCTTTACCTTCTCACGCCAGGCAAGGAGTGACTGGGAGGGGAAGGTGAGGGGCGGGGCTGTCACTGCGTTTTTGTATTTACCAGATGAGCTCTTATTTTTGAACTTTCAGACTTACCGTAGCTTGCCAAATTCTTATCTCTAAGCTAACTGCGCATGTCCACATTCCTTCACTTTCTTCTCTTTCTTTGTTCTCCGGCCAGGAGAGGTGGCCGGGAAAAACTTTGCCAAGATGTAACTAATTAGCTAGTGAGATGTTTTATTTTCTTTATAACAAATAAATGAGTTTTTCTTAGAAAATATATCTTCGGGTTTATTTTCTTAAAGTATACTTCAAGGAAATAGTCTCGATCCACTTCTCTAAATCAAGGTGCAATTACCCAAAAGCAGAATGGGATTAATTGCCACCCTGACAGGGGCCAGCCAGTGGTGGGATCACCTGACAGGGAGCCACAGCAGAGGGCCCAAAGAGCCGCACACGGCTCCGGAGCCACAGGTTGCTGACCCCCGATTTAGCAAAATATATGGGCCCCAGACCGTCCGAGGATTTATGAAAAAAACAGAGATGTACCAGCTGTTGGATGACTCTCTCCACCAAGGTGGTGAAACTTATATCGTCGCTTTCACAGTTGTCATACATGTACTTGACAAGCTTGGCGATGGTTTCTGTATCGGTTTCCGATTCAAATTCATAGCCTTTGCTCTCCTGAAAAGACACGAAAAAGGAAAATAAAATTAGCGCTATTTTTGCACCTGAATCAGGAAAGAGAAGCAGCAAGCGTGAAAAAGCGTGAACAGATGTGGCTCGGTCAAGAGAAAATCGATTGCAAAATCTATCACTGAAGTGACCGAGTGCTAAAGATCTGGCACACTAAATTCTAATTTCTTCTAAAATGGCCCAGATCCAATCAGGAAGGTTCAAAAGAAATTGCCTGGAGGAAACAGGAAAATTTACCAAGATAGAACGTCAATCTGGACATAGCCAGAGAATGCAAAATAACAGACCATCCTGGGGATCTCTGTGTGGAGTGGAACTTCGTTTTTGGGCCAAACCTAGATTGCACACGTTCCAGGCAAAGATGTTTGGGGAGGGGTGGGGAAGTGCAGGGGAAAACAAGGAAGAGCAGATGGGAGGAGAGGTGGAGAGCTGGTCAGGAAGGCAAGAGCAGCAGGTAGCTAAAGAGGAGCAGAATAGAATAGAATAGAATAGAATAGAATAGAATAGAATAGAATAGTAGAATAGAATAGAATAGAAGAATAGAATAGAATAGAATAGAATAGAATAAAGGTAGAGTAGAGTAGAGTAGGTAGAGTAGAGGAGTAGAGTAAGTAGTAGTAGGGTAGAGTAGAGTAGAGTAGAGTAGAGTAGAGTAGAGTAGAATAGAATAGAATAGAATAGAATAGAATAGATAGATAAGGTAGAGTAGAGTAGGGTAGGGTAGGGTAGGGTAGGGTAGGTAGGGTAGGGTAGGGTAGTAGGGTAGGGTAGGTAGGGTAGGGTAGGGTAATAGTAGAGTAGAATAGAATAGAATAGAATAGAATAGAATAGATAGAATAGAATAGAATAGAATAGAATAGAATAGAATAGAATAGAATAGAATAGAATAGAATAGAATTCTTTATTGGCCAAGTGTGATTGGACACACAAGGAATTTGTCTTTGGTGCATATGCTCTCAGTGTACATAAAAGAAAAGATACGTTCATCAAGAATCATAAGGTACAACACTTAATGATAGTCATAGAGTACAAATAAGCAATCAGGAAACAATATCAATATAAATCGTAAGGATACCAGCAACAAGGTTACAGTCATGCAGTCATAAGTGGGAGGAGATGGGTACTAGGAACAATGAGAAGATTAATAGTAGTGCAGACTTAGTGAATAGTTTGACAGTGTTGAGGAAATTAGTTGTTTAGCAGAGTGATGGCGTTGGGGAAAAAACTGTCCTTGTGTCTAGTTGTTCTGGTGTGCAGTGCTCCATAGCGTCGTTTTGAGGGTAGAAATTGAAACAGTTGATGTCCAAGATGCGAGGGGTCTGTAGATATTTTCACAGCCCACTTTTTGACTCGTGCAGTAGACAGGTTCTCAATGTTAGTAGTAAGTTGGTAGTAAGAAGGCAAGTTGGTAGAAAGGAAGAAGCCCTTGAATTCAATCCCTCCAAGGAAGGCAGGAGGAAACCCAGAGGAGGAAAGGGAAGGCCACTGTGGGGCACAGGACACGGCCGAGGGGATATGAAAAGGATGACCAACCTGCTCGTGTCCTAAGACCTCTCCAGATCCATCCCCTCCATCCACAGCAAGAGTGGGGAACAATGGGCCTTCTGTGCCTCCTGGGCTTCAACTCCCGCCTGGAATTCTGGGAGCTGAAGTCCACAAGTCATAAAAGGGCCATAGTTCCCCACCCCTGATCTATGGGGACTCCACAATCAAAGTTTCTCAGGGGCAACAGGCTATTATTATTGACATCATCCCCCTAATATCTTGGTGGGCTTCCAAAGAGCCCCAGAGATGTAACTCTTTAGGAAAGCATTTGGAGACAATGAAGACCGATCTCCCCACCACTGGACTGGAGATTAGAGGATGGTGTTGTTAGATACAATGATTCTACAGGTAGTCCTCGACTTACAACCTTTCACTAAGTGGCCATTCCAAGTTACAACGGCACTGAGAAAAGTGAATTATTACGACCATTTTTCACACTTATGACCATTGTAGCATCCCCATGGTCACGTGATTAAAATTCAGACCCTTGGCAACTGACTGGTATTTATGACGGCGGCAGCGTCCCAAAGTTAGGGGATTCCCCCTTGAGACCTTCTGACAAGCAAAGTCAATGGGGAAGCCAGATTCACTCAATAACCGTGTGACTCACTTCACAGTGGCAGTGAGTCATTTGACTTGACTGTCTGGTTTGACGACAGAAATCCTGGCTCAGTTGTGGCCGGTCGCAGGTCGAGGACTACCTGTGATTTAATGTTTTAGTTGCTTCATATAAGCTACTCAAGAGTCCTTTTGAACCAAGGATCATAGATGTCAATAAATCAGCCGGTCTCGGTTGAAAGAATAACCAAAGTTGTTCTCAGTTTCAGTTCAGCTGGACCACAAGGCACCCAGAATTCTGAGCCACAATGTGAATTGTTCCATGGACAGAACAAAACATACTTTTCATTTTGTGCCACGCCTCAAGGACCAACCCAGTTTGTGTGCAAAAAGACACCCTGTCCAACTTCTGAAGAAACTTTTCCCCCTTTTCTTTTAAATTGAAAATTTTAAATCTGTTTTTAAATTATTGGGGTGTTTTAAATTTGTCTCGGGCTGAATTGTTTAATCTGGTTTTATTTCTGCTTTTAAATTTTCTATTTATGTATTTTATTTTGTGCCTGTTCACCTCCCTGACTTCCTTCGGGAGTAGGGCGGTATATAAATCTAATAAAACAAACAAACAAACAATGTGGGGTAAGTCACTAAGGGACAGAGGGCTCTTTCCTGTCTGACCACCCCAAGCAGGTCCTGTTTTGAAAATCTCCCACAAAATACAATCCAGAGAGCTGAACTTACCAAGAACTTTTTCAGGTCTTTGTAATTGGTGATTATTCCGTTGTGGATAACAATAAATTCTGAAAGGAAGAAGAAACATTCACATTCAAGGCTGCGATCAGAAACCAGGCCATAAAAGAAGAAACATGGAGAAGAAAAGGACTTTTTGTTCAAAAAAACGTCTTTACGCGGGAAGGCCCTCAAGGGGTGGCAGAGCACAAGGTGGCCAAAGGGCAGAGAAGGGGGGTAAATAAGTGGGGGAAGGGACTGACCCTAGACCCTAAATTCCACAGAAGCTTATCTAACACACAATCTGTCTGAGAAGATTCCTGCATTCTAGGCAGAAATCAATAAAGTACTCAGTTTGAACTCTACACTTGTGGATCTGGTTGCTTATGCCTTACACATGGTGAAACGGTCACTTATGAAGCCTTGTCAATCAATCAATCAATCAATCAATCAATCAAAATAGAGTTGGAAGGGACTTTGGAGATCTTCCAGTCCAACCCCCCGCTCAAACAGGAGACCCTATACCATTTCAGACAAGTGGCTTCCAGTCTCTTCTTAAAAACATCCAGTGATGGAGCACCCACAACTTCTGGTGGCAAGCAGTTCCACTGGTTAATTGTCCTCACTGTTAGGAAGTTTCTCCTTAATTCCAGGTTGCTTCTCTCCTTGATGGGTTTCCATCCATTGTTTCTTGTCCTGCCTTCTGGTTCTTTGGAGAATAAGTTGACCCCCCTCTTCTTTGTGGCAGCCCCTCAAATACTGGAAGACTGCTATCATGTCAGCTGTAAGCTCCATATCCTGGATGGCGGACTTAGTCCTGCCTAGGAATAGCTTAAATGTTATCTAGATGTCAGGTTTCGATGCTATCTCAAAATAAATGAATTACCAAACTGCCGATCTTTGAGGAAATTTTCTCTTTATTGAGCATAGTGATCTGACCCTGGCTCTTTCGCGGTCAGCACTGACCTTTGCCCCCCAAGCCCTCCCTTTCCGATCCCCAATTCTCTGCGTCTCATTGGCTATCTTCCAAGCCACTCTCCTCATCCCATCTCCGTCAGATCACAGGAATGTGCCCCTTCCTCCCATCTCCGAGGAAACAGAATCTTCAAAGGAATTAAGTAGGCAAAAGTTCAAGCTTCTCCTCTCCTATTCATATGTCAGCGCTGGAATGCTGACACTAGATCCAGTTTCCCATCAGGGACCTCCCCACTGCTTCTTCTGCCTGCCGTGACTCGCCCTTTTATCCACCAGAAGATTCCAGAGGAGCCCAGAGACTTCGCTTCCTGGCCCTTATTCGGGAAGGAAGAGCAGAACATCCCAAAACAGCTGGACTAAATTCCTGCAGGTCCTGAAGAGCCAATCGCATCCTTTGCTACAGCAAAAGCCTACACACAAACCACACTCACAAATCCCCCCTTCCCAAGAAAGCCACTTTGTGAGCCCAATTTGTGAGCCTACCGTTGTTTTTGTCGGATCTCTGCGGGTGGCTGTTGACCGGATTAGGCTCACCATGGGTGGCCCAGCGGGTGTGAGCGATTCCAAGGTGCACATCAAACTCAATGTCCAGGTCTATATCCTGCTGCTCTAGGGAGAGGGAAAAATATATATATATATTTGTTGGGGTTTTTTTTATAATGTTGTTAAATGAATGGTCATAAGTCAAGGACTACCTGCACAACATACTTTGTTGATAGTATATAATATTATAAAATGTTGCAGGCTGATTTTCTACCCTGTTTCCCCCAAAATAAGACATCCCCTGATAATAAACCCAATCGGGCTTTTGAGCGTATGGCAATAAGGCCAAGGGCTTATTTCAGGGTTCAAAAAAATATAAGAATGGGTCTTATTTTCGGGGAAACACATTAGTCAAAATCTACTTATCTCTGGGGAAATTTAGGCTAAAAATACTTAAGTTAGCAAGATTCAGATTATCAAAAAGATAACAATATTGTGAATATTTCAATAGCGGCTAGAATTGTATTTGCTAAAAACTGGAAAGGAGAGAAGATACCTAATGATGAAGAAATGATTAAGAAAATGTTGGACTGTGCTGAAATGAGTAAACTGACATTTGAAATAAGAGAACAGGAAGATAAACAATATTATTTGATATGAGAGTTATTTTATCAATGGATAGACAACAAAACACGGAGATGAAATATGATATATGAAATGAAATTAAGATAAAATGTGTAAACTTCTGTTTTCTTTTAGGGGAAAAGAACGTGTGTCATATATTGATATTTTGAAGATTGTATGAGCACAAAAGGATTTTAACCGACCGAAACACTGTCTGTAATTGTTTGAAAGGATGATGTTTTTATGTTGTTTTTGTTTGAAAATTAAAAATTAAAAAACAAAAAAGATAAAAATAGTAAGTAATGCACCAATACTATGATTTAAGAATTCTAAAAAGCCAAATTTTGAAGGCAGCACAATTCCACCTTTAGGCTGGTGGTCCAAGAATGGTCACTCAAGCATCTCCCACCAGCCTCTCCCATCACCCAAATCGTGGGAGACACACAAACTCAGACCTTGCTCTCCGGCTTCTCACCACGGGCCTCAATCTTGGCTCCCCAGAGGGAAAACAAACTCTGACTCAGGAGGAGCAAAATTAACATGACTTGCAGTCAGTATGGTTTTAACCGTTTTTCATTTGTCTTCGTGTTTTAGGACAGGTGCCGCCCAGAGTGTTGGGAGGAGCGGCTGCAGAAATCAAATCAAATCATTCAACCCAATTAAATGCAGAGCCCTGTTATCCCTTTGCCCACCTGCTACATCGGAGGCCTTTTTTCATGTAGCCCCCCCAAATGAAAAGGGGGAAAATGAGACTTACTATTGACTTCTTCATCCAAAGCCTTCACTTTCCCTTTCTTCTTAATGAGCGTGATCTTGCCAGCGTTGGCCTCCCAGTCTTTGTCATTCCCGCCATCGATTCCAACCCCTACGACACAGGAGGGAAGACGAGGGAGACAAAGCCACAACTTCCTTGGCAGGATTATGGTTCCCAAGCACATAGAAGGCTAAGGAAGGGTGCTCTCTCTCTCTCTCTCTTTCCCCCTCCCTCCCTCTCTCTCTGTCTGTCACACAGACACTCTTTCTCTTTCTAACTCTCTTTCTCTCCCTCCCTTCCTCCCTCTCTCCCCCC